CCCTGTACATGTTGCCTTAATTGGTATGTTCTTCATGCAGGCCCATGTCTAGTTACTTGACTAGTTATGCAGGCAAGAGGAACTATCCAATGACATTCCGTGAAAGTCTAAATTATGGAGATAGTTTTGAACTCAACGGGAAAAGTACAATGGTCCTCAGTTGAAATTCAAAATTGAAAAAATCAATTGACATTCTCTAAAAATGCACATCTATTTCAAAAATAACTGCTCTGTATTACAAAAGTCGACATCGAAGCCCTCAGTATGGCTCGCAACTAAAATGAAAGCGTACTAAATATTTTGTGTGTCTTCTCCATCCTAATACTTTGTGTACCCTCCATTTGCCTTTATCACTGCTACACATCTTTCGTGCATGCTGCCAACTAGTGACAATAGCTCCTCTGAAGGTATAGAGTCCCATGCGGCCTGCAACAATGTTTTCAACGTGGTAGAGCGCACAAGCCTGACCCCATTTATCTCTGGAATATTTACCTGAATGTGGTTTTTTAAGATGTTCCATAGTGACTCAATTGGGTTCAGGTCCGAAGATTAAAGTGGCCATCTAATAGGCGTTAATCCAACCTCACGTGGCGCCTTAGTTGTTGAGTGTGCTTTATGACATGGTGCATTGTTGTGCATGTATAGATTTCCTGGATTTTCCATGTGAAATTGATTCAAAAGTGGCAAAATCCTTTCACAAAAGGATGAAGACCTCATTGATCCCCAATCTTTCTCCCAGACTAGGAATGGGCCTTTTTGTGATCCGTAAAATGATCCCCAAAACATCCAGCTGTTGTCATGAGCATGGCGAGCCACAATACAAGCCTCATTCAACTCATCATCAGGCTAAACTCTGCTGCTAGTACAAGGAAGATTTTGATAGAATTTAAACGTACTTTTCTTGTGACACGAGGTTTAATATGACAATCACCCGATACCCAGGTTTCATCAGTCCATAATATGCGACTCCATTGTTCATCGCTCCAATCTACATGTAATTGGGCGAACTCCAATCTTTACTGCTTGTTCACCGCGCTTGACGGAGGCTTCTTCCGAGCAATGCATCAACTGTAACATTTTTTTTAGTGCATTAGAAATTAAACCCTCACTGCATCCCCAGTGGCTGAAAGGTCCAATTGCTAGTTCCAAATAGCACATCTGTGGATTTTCAATAGATTCCCAGACGAAAGCCTCAAGCTCATCAACTTGTTCCGCTCTTAATTTAGGTGAGCTTCCTTTGCGGGATATAGGATTCTCAGTCTCTCGAGCACACGCATGTTGCACTTGCCTTATTGTGAAGCCAAGTTTGTCGGATATATGTTGTAATGTCAAGCCAAGTCTTCTTAATGCTCTTATTTCAATACATTGATCGCGAGTTAGATGCTTGCGAACTTTAGTTTCTGAAGCAGACTTTTGGAGAGACATTTTTGCTAGAAGTGAGGATGAATTGATTGTGATGTTAAGTTTCAAAGGCTGTGTAGGATAGGCAGCCAAAAATGTCGTTGAAAATGTGTTTCTCTAACCAATTGTTAGGAGAAGACAATTGGACCATACTTCATGGCGAGCGGGGTAATAAGGAGAGACATACTAACCTATTACGAGCTAGCCCAGCTGCGCCTACAGGGCTAATCCCTTCAACGACCCAGTTTGAAGCTTTACCTTTTGGAACCTAGAGGCACTGTATTGGCTACTTACTATTCATGCCAGTGAGTGATGATATGGGTTAATTATATCTCATGGCGCCAGTGCATATTATTCTAATATCTACTATTTGTCTACTGCAGTCATGTTGCTGCCTTAATTACAAAAAGTATGATTAAAGATATAGGTGAAGTCTGAGGTTGAGAGCAAAGACCGAATACCTAAATGCAGTGTCCTCTACGAACCTGGGAGTGGAATATTTTCCCGGAGCTAATTTCAGTCATTTCGAAACACCGAAGTTGGCCCACGAGACAATGATTCAAAATACTTACCCATGTCAGATTTTCACTCCAATCGAGATGGATTCCTACCCAAGCTTCATCAAGTCTGCATGTACGACCTAGTACATCCTCGTTTCAATGACCATGTGTATCATCAACTATTCTCCGGTCTCTACTGGCCACTAACCACACGCCTACGACATCACCAAATCCTGCAGGAGGACAAAAATCGACACGCACAAGTCTAGGAGGCAGTTTTCTTTGGGATATATGTGAGAGAGATCAGGACAAGTTTACAAGATTATACAAAAGAAGGATACAATCTCGACGGGTGTGAAATTTCGAAATTTGGCAAGGAGTTTTACGAATTGAAGAGTATTGTGCGCGCAAATACTTCGATTGCGAGAGTGCAGCTGACACTATAAACACAAGCCAACGATGGAAAGTGTTGTGATCCGCCTCCTGGTGATGTTTTCTGGTATAGTTTGAGTAGCCTGGGCACCTACTCCACTTAGGAAGGAGACATCTCAAATCATATTTCGCGCGGAGAAAAGTTGATGGATGACGGAGGCATGTCTGGATAACTCAGGGTTTTTGAGACGTTCCCCTGAGTGGGTATTCACGGATAAGGGTTGACTTGGGGTGAAGAAAAAGCCGCCATAACTTCGCAGTGGTACTTGCAAATGAAATCCGAGGCATGAGTGCTCCTTTTGTAAATTGAGTCATCTTTTCTGTATTTTTCTTTGATATTGTGTCATAGCTAGATAGCTGCATACGCAATTAAAATCTGATGCAAAAAAAAGAATCTCATGTCGCCCAGCTAAGCTTAACCATATGCAATCGGATCAATTGAATTGATCTTGATGATCATACTTAGAAATTTAAACCCTCATTTATACTAATTCTAGATTTCCAACACTTTGCAATAGTCGAGGCTGACTTGATCCAATCCACCATCGCCGTACGGGGTGCTGGATACGCTCCGGAAACCTATCGGATGGCTTTTCCTCCATGATCAAGGGTTGGTGATAAGTAAGTCTCTGACCCTACCATCTGATCTGATCGTGTTTAGATGCATGATAATGGTGGTAGGGGAATGTGTTGAGAGATGAAGACGATACAGACCGCGAAAACGATTGGGAATCCTCATCGAAGTGAGAACTTTGTTACTCAATCTCGGCTCTGCAGACTCTGCAATAAGAGCTAGAGGTTCGTAGGGGACACCACTGACAGGTGTTGAGAATAGTCCCCCCCTCACCATTCAATCTTAGTGTAAGAGTTCTCAACTGTGTGCTTAGGTCTGCTCTTAAGCACAAACAACGGTCAAACCGTAACAAAGATCTAATCGTTGCTCTAGCCTTGCATCCTCATATCACACCGCTGAGTTGTTATCGTCATTGGCAATTTATATGATCCTCTCGGTGTATCTTTCCTTTTATTTCCATTATACACGTCCCGTTTCCATAATGACTTCCCTCATCAGAGCGGGTGTAGATAGGTGATATGACGAGTACGAAGATAGGCCGCAGATGAAGGATCAACTGAGAAATGCTTCGTCGCCAATATATAAGGAGCTTGAGATGTGTTGGATGTTTGAACACGACCTCCAAATAGACATAGGCCTATTCGTGAGTCGTGTGTTGGTGGTGGTGAAGAGGTTTTGTTCGACTTTCTTGCGGTTGTGAAATGTATGTTGACTAATTTTTTGACCAAAATACCGAGTACAACTCCTAGCAGAAGCTGGCAAAGACGAATTCTTCACCTACCAATAATACCAGTGAAATCGCTCAGTATGCTCTGCATATCTTTAATAGCCAAAAAGAATCGCATCCGAATCGAAGTCGAAAGCAACCTCAAGAATATCTAAAGTCGACGACTTCTCGTCAATGTCGGACCTATCACTTTCACAGGAGTCCTCCACCTCAATCTTACTACACCACCTCGCCTCAAATACCGATAATGGCGTTACTCCAATTGCAATCGGGCATTTGCCTCTTCAAAAACCGGCCATCTCCCACTACAAAATTATGATGCTTTGCACACCCGCGAGGAGAAAATTAAGTCATAATCTACAAAGCTCGGGACTTGGTCTACGGGGGACCGTTGCTATAATGGGGCTTCATATCTTGAGGGAGGAAAGGCAGCTGGGACGTGGGACGAACGAGAGAAGAGGTTACGAATGGGCATGTTGGGCCGCACATTTTTCGAGTATTTTCAACTTGAGATTGTCTATGGGCGCCGAGGCATTGATTTAGGATAGTGCAACCGACACTCTAAATACAGGCAACGATGGAAGGTGTTTTGGTCTGCATCCTGGTCGTCATCTCCCCGAACTAAAATCTGGGTAGCCTGGACACCTACCTCACTCGAGGAAGAGAGGACTGTGAGGCCACATCTCGCGCGGTGGTTATATATCAGATGACAAAAGCATGTTAGGGTAGCCGAAGGCTCTTCCTGTTTTCCCTTTGATGGATAATAACGGTTGAGGGAAGGATGAAAGTCCCTATGAACAAGATCTCGAGTGGTATCAGCGAATGCACCCACTACATGAGTAGTCCAAATCTCAAACTGAGCAATCGTCGTATATAGTGGTCGGGGAAGCTAGTCATCTCCGTTTCATGCTCTTTTAATGCAGGGCTTGTGCCCGTCACGAATGAAATTTCCATTCAACTATCTTCCAACCAGAAAATCCATCAAAAAAAAATCATCCCGCCCTTTTTCATGACTGAGTCCTGGTTCTGAGAATTTTTTACTCCCAGGTTCGTAGAGGACATCACTGACAAGTGTGTAGTCTTCGTCCGCCTGGTCACCCATGTAAACTAGCGCCGCGAGAAACGTGGTTGTGTTTTGCTGGATTTGAACCAGCGATCTACTGCCTCAAGTGGGATATGAGCCCCGGCTTTACAGAATTTTCTTAGTAGGTTGACCCAGATAATGTACCACAGCACCATCCAACCATGGCGGTAACTAAAGTGTCGCCTGCAATCTGAGCCCATCTTGCTACGCTGGTCACTTCCATCTGCCGCTCTCTTACTCGTCGCATAATGTCCGTTCTGCACCCACGCTCGCCACCTCACCATGCCCTCAGAGCGCGATATCCAGATCCAACCACAGGTGCCCGACTCTATTCGGCATAATACCAAGGTCTGCTCTGTCCTCTACTAGCGAGTTGCTCACCGAATGCTAATCTATCGTTAATGCCTCACTAGACCCTCACAAACTTGCATCATCTGGCCGCCTCCCTCTTTGGCGTCGGCGCAGGCACTCTAGGCCTAGAGTCTTATTGGGGCTTCATCTTCTATCTCATCTTCTCGCTTTTTACATCGGCTCTCGTTTACGGTCTACGCGTGAGGCCCAGCCTGATCCACGAGAAACATAGCGGTATCCAGCGATACTTTAGAAGTGGATGGGAGCTGTGGACAGATGGATTAATGGACGGGTTGGCTGGCTTTGTCCTCACATGGACCTTATTCTATGGACTGGTAAGGGCCTAAAGCCTCGCACAATGAAGACACATGCGCGGCTAGGAGTGGATTAGGTCGTGAATCCTAGAAGATTTCAAAGCAACGCGACTGGGTGGCTAAGTTTGCGGAAATATCAACCTACCGATTGATGAGGTGTCACAAATAAAAATGGCACGGCATGTATGCGATTAAACTATCAGTGTTCAGATGGACTTGAAGATACCATATCTCTATGCACAAACTCAATCCTGAATCTCTATCACCGTTCCAACAAAACTCTCGAGATTCTCCACTTTCTTCTCCTTCCCGTCCCAGCCATGTTGAGAGCCACGTCTGCCCCCAAGCATAATCATAACCCGAGAGGCGAGAGGAATCCATTCGCGATGTCTCACAAGTTCAAATGTGATAATTGTGCCTTCAGCTTGATAAAAGCCAGGCACTTCAATGTCTGCCTTCTTCCTGTCCAGTGCCGGTACAAGCATCTCCCCTATCTCCTCGCCTCTGTCCCCGCTTAACCTAGCTCTTTCGTACGGCGCTACTCGTAGGATGCGGGCAGATGATCGAACACTAGAAATGTAGACGATGACAAGCCTTCCAACAATCAGGGTCTTGGAACAGGCGTCGCCAAAAAATGCTGTAAATCTTCTGGTCGCATGCAGATGAAAGATCGCTTCATCTTTTTCTGCCCCTAAAATAGCTAGAATCATACCTTTTCGTATCTTCGGAGCTAGTACTGCCGAGCTATTTGTGAATGGCTCATGCTGCGATTCAGTGTCTTCCTGCAGACTCCATCGCAACCCAATTGTGCCGACTTGCCCAGCTTTTAGATAGGGGACGGGAAGGCGTAAATTACGTAAACTGACAATCTGAACATGGTTCCACTCCCCAGATCTGACGGCCATTCGGGGCGTGTAAGTACCTGAATCAGCTTTTGATTCTAATGTAACTACCTGCCGGTTCGAATCACCTCGCTCAATAGAAAAGGGCCCTATAGTTACAATGTCATTTATCTTGAGCTCCCCCCATTGAAGATGCCCGGAAACTATTACACCCGCATCTGAAGTATTTGCATAGGGTCCATCATTTAATGGCATTTTGAATATATCCTCGATATGAAAAAGACACGCGGGTAAATGTTGGCTTGATATTTGATGCCTCTTTAAGCTTAGATCAGAAGAAATTGGTAAGAGGCGCATTAGTGCATGCAAAGAACTTATGCCAGTTCCATTCACAGAACTCGTCATGACAATAGGTACGATGGAGGTCATTGAGCCACTGCCATTCATCTTTTCAATTATATTTCGAACGAAATTGTCAACACTGTGAGGGATTGATGTCAGCTCAGCATCATTAAAGAGCCTTGGCTGATCGGGAGGAATGATATAAGGGGTACGTCCCAATGCTTTCAATGACGATAGAATCTTTGAAAGAGTCGCCTTGAGACTATTCTTAGAGGTGAGGTCAAGCTTAGTAACAATGACTGCGAGCGGCTTCTCAAGCTTTAGGCAAAGGTCTAGATACGCCTGGGCTGAGCCGGTCGCATAACCAACATCTAGACCCTGATGATCTAAATCTTCTCCATTACTGGCAGCGATGCACAGTAAGTTCCAGTGTGGGGCCCAACCGATCAATCCACGGCCTATGGTACGACGATGCTTCGAGTAACCGGGGCAATCAGAGCAAAGAACTAGACGTCCACCCTGGACAGACGAGTGTATGTCCACCCATGAACTCACGTTTCCCGACGCATAGTTGACGACTTTAAGACCATTGTACCCCACAACTTCCTGAGCTACCGAGCTTGTTACTCCAGACTCTATTTCGTGGCGGTGCTTGAGCAAATTGAGTCGTATTTTTCCACGGCCATTATCTAGTAAGGCAGTGGTGAGGGTCCCGATAAGACTAGATTTACCAGAGGTTGTGGGTCCAATAAATGTACATCTTAGCTGGTTTGTTGTCTTGGATTCCGTAAGATTAGCTTCCAATGAAGTGTATTGTTGTGGCAAACCGATTGAGTCATTGTCGGCTTCTGAGGATGAGACAACTTGCGCATTAGCACTACCCGTGACAGGAGCTGGATATATGAAAGCTTCTGCAACATATAGGAGCGCCTGGTGTAGTTGGCTGCTGCTTGTTGACTTGAGCGTACTAGATTGTGTTGGATTTCTGACTAAGTGCGACTCATATAGCCGAAGTTGCTCTGGAGTTTCAGACCATTGGCACTGGCCAACAACTAGCGTCCGCGTAACTGATACGTCACAGCTAAGACTCGCTGCGATGAGGCAAAGGTTTCCTAGGGACTCTCGCATTTCATCCTCCGTCAGTCCCACAAAACTCCCGTCGTCAGAAACTCCAATTTCATACAAGGATCCCTGGCTTTCTTCGAGCCCGGCAACTAGTTTCCGAGTTTTGGTGTAAAGGTGGGGACTCATGATTTTCTTATACTTTGTTTCAGATAGTTCGGGTACGATAGACTCGCGGATAGAGGTGGAGTGAAAACCAGATGATTGTTGTAAACGCCATAGCAGTTGAGTGGTAAGCTCCTCCAGACGAGATTGCCGCCTTCGATATGAGGGAAACAAAGGGGAAGGATTAGTTCCAAAGCTGCCATCAACAGCTAGATCTAAGACTGTCCCTTGTTGTAGAGGTTGGGGCTCGGATAGCTTTGACCTTGTGGAATAACTACTATCTGCTGAAAGTTAGCGTTGCAGTATCCAGGGTGTGTTTTGTGGCAAATAGAAGTATGTGAGTAATGTGATTAGAAGTGGATACGAGGAAAGTCTTACACTGTCGTCTTGGTCTTAATAGCAAATGTAGTTTGTATTCTACGGGACCGTGAGAAGGCTCTGGTCGAAGTCTCGAAGGTCCCCTGTCTGATAGAGAAGCCGACGAGTGCAAAGTATCTCCGTTACGCAATAGCTTTGGTAGATCCTCCGGGCTATCAATTGAACTAGACCATGGGGAAGATAGTCTTGGTGGGTCCGGATCAAATGTAAATATGGAAGCCATAGTACGATGCAAATGAGGTTAACAACACTGAAGCCATGAATCCAGCAGTCATAAGACTGCTTATTTCTGCGACTGCTGTAATACTAATTTTGCTGCAGATCCTCTGGAATTATATTGAAGCCATGAAGATCGTTGGACTGGAGTATGTAAAACAAGCATGAGTAAGAAGCTTTGGACGGGTTACTATGATTAGCAGGTCGATTAAATTCTGGGTGTATATCATTGTAGCTCTAGGAGTATAGTGATTAACGGTACCTGTCTTTGATTTAACTTAGGCTTGCTTCCAGGAAGATATTTGGCAGCGGCATAGCATCAGGAAATATGGTTGACAGCACATTTAGTACGGTGGATCAATTTATGTCACGGGACGGGTATGTAATGATTTACAGGGCTATGCTGCACTCGCCCGCCTACAGACTGATACAAGGCTCTGGGGTTATCTGAAGCACCACCGACGCCCTTTCAACTCTACTACCCCTCCCCCTTTCCGCCGCCCTGACACAGGGCTAATACTTAATTCCTTTGCTGCCGGCGAGCAATACTTAATTATCTTTCAAATTTAATAATTTGAAATCATCAGCTCTACTCTCAATATGAAGAAATTTGGATTCGGCAAGAAAAATGACATTTCAAAGAATGCCTCACCAGCCCCTGCGGCCTCAAATCCTTATGCTCAACAACCGGCAGCACCTGGACCGTACGATCAAATGAACCAGAACCCAAAAACGATGGCAAATAATGCACCAACTCAGCAAGCTGGGGATTCTATGAGACCTGGTGTCGCCCAAAGGGGCGTTTCTGCTGGGTCAGCAGGACCAAGAGGGCCAGCACCGAATGGATACGGCGCAAATAGATATGATTTGGCTAGCAACGGTAACGGAGGTGGATACGGGGGAATGGGAAGGAGAAATAGCAATGAAACTACCAATACTGAAGAAAACCGAGAAGCTTTATTCGGTGGCGCGAAGGATCGATTTGCCCAAAGAGGTCCACCATCATCTGGAGCCGGGAGACCTAATGGAGGTTATGGCGGTGGCTATGGTGATGAAAGACAATTGACTGCAGAAGAAGAAGAAGAGGAAGATGTCGCAGCCACGAAGCAAGAAATTCGACAGATGAAGCGAGATGACGTATCTTCGACTCAGCGGGCCCTAGCTATCGCAGCCCAGGCAGAGGAAACTGGAAGGGCTACATTGGCGCGTCTAGGCGCCCAAGGCGAACGACTTCATAATACGGAAAAGAACCTGGATCTAACCTCCAATCACAATCGTAGAGCTGAGGAAAAGGCGAAAGAGTTAAAAACATTGAATCGAAGTATGTTTGCCGTGCACGTTGCTAATCCTTTTACTTCTTCGTCGCGCCGGGCAGCTCGTGATGACCAAGTTCAAACGAAACATCAACAAGAGCGCGAAGAACGTGATGCTACTCGCCAAGCAGCGTTTCTTTCGCGTCAGCGCTTAGAAGATAACATGTCAGAACTCCGCGTCGGGGAAAGACCCCCGCCAACAAAAGCCAGCCTAGCTGAAAGATCAAAGTATCAGTTTGAAGCTGATTCAGAGGATGAAGACATGGAAAACCAGATTGACAGTAACCTAGACGCCTTGGGTAACGCCGCCGGTCGGCTGAATGCTCTTGCTCGCGCAACAGGCCAAGAAGTCGAAGAACAGAACAAGCATATTGAGCGTATCATGATCAAGGTGCGATCTCTATTCTCTTCCCTAAATTTTTCACTCTTACTAATTACCCTCCACAGAGCGACCGGGTTGATGATCAGATTGCTCTGAATAGAGCGCGATTAGATCGGATCAAGTAAATTCTGCCAGGCATTTCTTTGCGGGAGTAGTTTGGCGCATCGGGTAACTTGCATGCATATAGAATAGTCTCACTCCTTGTTCCATTTTTTATTCTTTCACCGAATATACCAATGGAAATGACCAATTCTCAAATCCTCATATAAGCTAAGCTATCCATCTTGAGTACTCCACCTTATGAAGAGGTATTCTTGGTCTAAGCTTGTTGAAAGGGGTTTGATCTTCTTTATATGTGTGCACAATTATGTACATGCAAATGATCAATTATATCTCATATGACTCGCAAGATATTAGTGTCATCTATTATTATACGTAGCATGTTATTATGGACTCCTTGAATTTACATAATGTGATACCTTTATTTAGCTTTGGTGAACAACCATCAACACTATGACAAGTTAATATTTATAGAGACGGCAGACGTGATCTTCTCCCGACCATGTCGTTCAAAGACGATGTCGGATGACGATTAATGTCAAGACCCGTAGGCGTACAATTTTATCACGAAGTATTCAGGATGAGAATCTTTTACATTGCAAGAGCCTCCATAATCCAGGGCACTTCAATAGCACTAACGCATTTGGCATAATTTTTAGCTGTAAAAACATGTTCCATGAACATAATTGCTTCCAACTTGCGGCCATAAAGTACGCTTGAGGGATGAATCATAATGATGTTTTTTCCTTGTGTAGTCCGATAGCTATTATCGGGTGCAAGTATAGCCGTATTCATGGAGAAAGCTGATAGCATTATCTTGAGCAAGCGGCACGTATCATCGGGGGTGAGAGGCGTAAGGGGTTGCGGGTCAGGCGGTGGTAGTTTCAGTAAAAGCTTCTCTGCATGACAAATGTGTCGAAGTTGTTTGCGAATCTGCATAGCCATACTCATAGCACGAGTGGAGATCATGCGTTCCTTACACCAACTACTTCGATCAGTGCCTTCACTCGCGTAATGTTGCATAGTGGAGAGGAGAGTGATGAGATCTCCTTCCCGCTGATGAATATCTCTGCGGAAATTCAGCATAGTTTCCCGGTCTTCTTCAGATTTCGGCTGCAAGAAGATATTTGAGTCAGTTGTGAGACAGGAAATAACATCAATGACTTCCAGTACCATATTCGGCTCAACTTCTGCGGCTGCTGTAAGAACGCGGCCGTACGTTGCTGGCAAGGGAAATCGTGCAACCTTCTTTCCATTTTTAGTCAGATTTTCATTATTATCCAAGATACCCATGAGGTGTAGACGTAGAAGAGCCTTTTCCATAGCCATAAAATTTGGAGTATCCATCAGTGGGAAAGCTAACACATCCTTAATGCCCCTTGCTTTCATCTTCAACACAGCCTCAACAATATCACTTCGAACAATTTCAGGCGTCTCATTTTCATCGAGTTTGTTATAATCTGCTTCGGTGTAAAGTCTGTAGCATTTACCTTTAGCTTCCCGACCTGCCCGACCAGCTCTCTGAATAGCTGATACTTTGGAGATAGGCTTAGCAAGGAGGGATTCAAGACCTAAACGTGGTCGATATTGCTTAACTTTTGATTTTCCACAGTCAACGACATACCGAACACCTGATACAGTCACAGATGTCTCAGCTATGTTAGTCGCTAGGACTATTTTTCGGGTAAATTTCTCTTTTAGTTTTTCAAAAGCTTCTTGCTGTCCCTGTGCTGATAAAGCTCCATAGAGAGGTACGACTTTCATTTTAGGGAGATTATTTGCTAATTGAGTCGAATAGCTTTCCAACTCAACCTGCAGCACTTCAATTTCTTCCTGACCAGTCAGAAATGCCAAGATATCTCCAGGCAAAGGCTCTTTTACATGAAGCTGCAAAATGATTTGAAGCATACTATAAATATAGTCTTGACAAGGTTTTAGCTCATAAATAATTTCTACCTCATACTGTCGACCTTCAACATACATTATAGAAATCTCGTCTGAGGTGGATTTTTCTTTTATAGATAAGAGAGGTCTATCAGTTGATTGAAAGATTTGGGGTTCCTCGTGAAAATTTTCCTTCGAGTTATCGTTGTCTTGAATCCTATTTTTTTCCGGATTTGATTTAGAATCTGGTGGATTAGAAGTTTGTGATGATGCTGGGTTAATGCTAGAAAGACAAGAAATAATGTGCCGAGCGGAATTTTGTTGTAGTTCGTGACGGTCAGAATTCCCGACCATTAAAGATTTGGATCGAGCGGTGCCGACATCACTAATATTTAAGACAGCGTTATGAGTATCCTGACCGCTAGGGAAAGCTAAAAATGCTTCGATGCTTTTTAAGTCAAGAGTTGCACTCATAACTACAACTTTGAGCGGAATTCCACCGCGGCCTTTGTTATCGCTATGTAACATACCTCTCAAAAATCCGACAACTAAGTCCACGTCAACACTCCTTTCGTGAAATTCATCAACAATAACGGCACTATACTGTTTTAGATTTGGATCTTGCAGAATTTCCTGTAGAAGTGTGCCCTCGGTCACAAATTTAATTTTCATCCCTGCTGGAAGCATTTTTTCAAATCTAACTGAATATCCAACTATTCCATTGAAGTGACGATCTCCTCTTTTCAGTGGTGTACCAATTTCCTGAGAAACGCGTTGAGCCAATGTTATAGCTGCCACTCGCCGTGGTTGTGTTATGGCGATAACTCCTCCCACAAATGTATCATGATATTCACCCCGCTCGTTTTGAACTTTTGTTTTGCAGCGCTTACACCACGACTCAGTGTAAAGAAATTGAGGAATTTGAGTACTTTTACCTGAGCCTGTATCACCCTTTAAAAGAAGAACATTAGTTTTCTGAAGAGAAAATCTTATTTGATCTTGATAGAGCCAGACAGGCAGGTTTTCACGAAGTATTTCTGTCATAGATCTATTATCCTTACTTTTTTTCTGAACATGAGGTTCATATTTGATAGATTTTACTGTTCGGTTATCATTTATCTTCCGACCTGTTTTAGTCGAAAACTGACGCGCAGCCGGAGTCGGAATATATACACCATCTGATTCGGAGATTCCAGTGCTACTATGTCCTAATTGAGATGTATTATTAAAATTTTTGTTGTCACGCTCTCTAGAAGTTTCCGGAGTTACTGCCAAGTTGGTCGATAATGCAAACTCATTTATGATAGACTTCAGTCCTACTTGCTTCGATGATTTTGTATTCCCATTGCGTGACCTTTTTGTGCCTCTCACGATATTACCGGTGGATAAGTCCGCAGCATCAGACTCAATTGCTTTTTCTTTGCGTTTGCTTTTCTCCATCGAATCACCGGTAAATTCAACCAATGGGTGCGTCTGTCCTGAGGATACGATAAGTTTTTTAGGCCCTCGCACCGACATTCTCCCTAAAAATGAAGGGTGCAAAATATCTCGTTAACTTCTACTTTCGTTTTTCTCCTATCTATGTATGCGCTTAGTGCAAGAAAAGTTCTTGGCCTAGGGCTAATGTTCTATAACGTTCTCGTGTTGTATGGAGAGCGTTGTATATTATTGTCCAATCTACGTGAGCTTGATTTCCAGTCTAGAATCAAATTATTGAGAACTAGTTTCCTATGTGTAGTTCAATTGCATATTTGGGCAAGAATAATTCGATAGCTTATTACATTCTTTGTTGATAATTAAACTTGGGGAATTAGTGCACAAACTTTCAAACTAGCCCTTATTAGAAAATCACATGATTTAGCTAGCGGCATATGTTACATGAAGACGCACCATTTCATTTGGATATTTGGAAAGGTAAGTAGTAATCATTTAATAAATAAATGATTCAACACTCAATCGCTTACAAATACCGAAAGAATGTACCAGGAGTAGGAAAACCACGACGCCAACGTGGATATCCGTCCCAAAACACAAAGCGAATGGTGATGTCTTGTTCAAGATGGGCAGAGGCGAGTTGCTTCGAAAATTGACAACCTGATCCTTCGAAGCTGTGGTGAATAACGTTAAAGATACGACTAGAATTTCACAGTGGATTCAATATGAAGGATCGACAGAGCAGTTTCGAATGACCGGAGTAATCGAGGCGTTAATCAGACGAAAAGGGGAAAATGTTAACATGGGACAAGGACATAATCAATACTGGCAGCAACAGTGTGAGTGCACTTCTTTTAGCTAAGACTGTGATGGCACAGAATTCAATCAAACAGCTAAGGGGGGTCTTACTGTAAGGTTTCCTATTTAAATTAGAAAGTTTGATAGACTCATGCATATTGACCCAACCATTAACACCATGGTAATTTGATGGGAATTAGCTATAGGCATGTGATTGTAATGGGGTGCATGATATGATAATTGTAAACTAGGCAACAGCGAGTAAGGGTTTGTGGAGGCCCGTGCACATTCAATATATTTCTTAGCAATGGCTGCCACACAGAAAACTTAGGATAGATAGATACAATACAATACAATACATTCTACTGATTACCTTTCCCTTCGGATTCGAATCCAAGAACCTGGTAGTTTTACCAACACTAATTAGTGGTGAACCAACTACTTGGCTCACTGCAAATAGCAAGGTTTACCTATTAGAAGAGAGTTGTTTGTAGAGTCGTCTTTACCGCAAAGTCAGGACTGCAATCCAACTGCTACAGCAGAGCAATTGATCACGATCAAGTCAGATAAGCTGAAGTCAACATCAAGGGTTCTGTACCGTCGTTGTATGAGGCATAGGCCGAATTGGCCGAGTCAACTACATTTGCACGGCGCGCCCCCGTCGCGTTTTCCTAAACCTCCATTGATTATCGAATCTTTCAATCACTAAGCGATACCCCTTCAATTTTATACTTTACAGCGTTTAACGATTATCGACATTTAAGTAGTGCAATCAAGTTACATCGCATCGATTACTCTCTTTCTTTACTAATCATCTGTTCAATTGTACGCAATCACTATGGCATCGAGCTCAAGAGCAGGCAGAAAAGCACCCTCGCGCGATCTAGAAGATGATGACGCTGCTACAAAAGAATACATAGCGTGAATCTGGGAAACCACCGGGGTTCATCCTAGCCGCCGCAGGCACATTAATCAAGACCAATTCGACAACCCCCTTTCTTCCGAGCCAACCGTCGCGCAGCGAGCTGCATTTCTTCTTGATCGAGTTGCCAACTACATGGCATACTTCTCTGGCACTTCAGAATCTATTTGGAGTGAATTTCGTCTGGACTTTGATGGATGGTTAGAAGAAGACTTTACACCATTGGCTAGTCCTACACTACGTTCCATCACCTTGTCTAAACTAAAAGATGTTCTCGTACGTCATGGCGTTTATTGTGGTGTCCGAAACGCAAAATACGTAGCTGTTTTTGCAAATATGGTCAAATGTGATCAGCTTCCCCTATGGCCTATCACTGAACTTAGCCATAGCTGGCACTATTTCACAGATAATGCACAAGGTGAGCTTCATGCTCGATACCCGACAGTCAAGTCTGAAGTAATTGAAACCCCACATATCAACACACTTCGTTCCGCCGAACCTCCCAAGTCTACCTTCCCCAACACTAGAGCGCCCTTAAAGAATAATGGCGACATTGCAATCCAAACCCATCATGACGACGACGATGATATTTTACGAACTCCTACTAACACACGTACCGCCCCAATCCCACAGGGGGAACCTCAATATCCCCCATGTTCACAGCGTATCCAAAGGCCATCGCATTATCTCAGTGTTGCTCCGTCGTTTGTTGATCAAGTTCCTATTGCTAGTCACCTACTAGACCCGCTTAACCCTAACCATCTGGTCATTCCAGAGGACAATAATGAGCCACTGGATTCTCGGAAGATTGAGACATTTAGCAAAATCTGGAATAAGGAATACAACTTCACGGGCGCAGCTTACAACATTTTAGACGACACTGTGCGCCAGTTTCAACTCACTTGTTCCCAAATTGACATAGCTCCATCGCAACTGCATGCTATATTTCGAATGACGTTATCGGGTGCGGCGCAGAAATGGTCGTTGTATTCCCTTAGCAACTCTGCCAAGTTTTGCGATATGTACCTGATACTGAAAAGTCATTTTGATACAAGCATTAATCACTCTCGCTACCACAATGACTGAACTTTAATAACTTTTCAGTCGGCTAGGAATGACAAAGAATGTTTGCAAAAAGATCTTCCTGGTGTCTTGGACTTCTTGTTCAATCGTTTGGAACTTTATCAACGGGCTCTAGGTAGCTCGTACTTCGGTGAACAACAGCTGATTGCTGCAACACTGCGTTCAGTGCAAGGCGTGGCTGGACAAAAGCCTGCAACATTCAAACCCACAATGCGATATGAGCAATTATGTAATGATCTACGGAATGCACTATTCCAGGCAATGCAACCCTCTATAAGCCACTTTGTTATTGATCAGACCAATGACGCACCGGATATTAATTATAACGATCGAAAGTATAATTCTAATCGCCTTCCTCGTGGTCAGAATAGAAACAACGACCACCGATTTCGCGATAATGATTACAAGCAAAGCTATAAAAGTAGTCGTCGCCAGCACAGTAACGATGAGAAATGCTACATTTGTGGTAAGCAAGGTCACTTTGCCCGCGATCATCCTCAACACGAGCAGGCTGAACATCGCCGCAAATACAATGATGCCCACCGCTTCAGTCGAACAATGAATCCCTACCGGCAATTTTTGCTGGATTTTGAAGGATTACCCCTGGAGAGCTCAGATACTATAGCTCATAATACTGCTGTCGACGATTTCAGTGAAGATGAGAACAGCGAAAACGACTTGTTTATGAGTGCCGCCTCTTTTCTCATCGACGAATCTGCGCGCTACCGTCTCACAGACTACATACCGCCATCACTTGAGTCCAATTCACCAGTTCTTACCGAACAATTTGTTCTTGATAGATACTATAACGAACGCTTTCAGGGAATAATGCCTGATACCGGCGCCGCACAGGCATCAACAGCGGGATTTCCTCAGTTTCAGGCCTTGCAGCGAGAGCATCCAGAACTACAGCTGAAAAAGGAAGATAACAAAGTAAAAGTTCGTTTCGGTAATGGTGATGCAATTTCATCACTCGGGTCTGTCGAAACTATAACACCAATTGGTACCGCAAAGTTCTACGTCATGCACACGCCGACGCCATTCCTGCTTAGCCTCAAGGACATGGACCGTCTTGACACCCATCTCGACAACACGCGCAATCTCCTCGTCCAGCGTAGTCCAAGCTATAAGGAGATCCCCATCGTGCGAAAGTGGGGCCATCCATGGTTCATGATCTCAGATCTTGAACATATGTCATTATTACTGACTGTCCCTGAGCTACAACGCCTTCATCGACAATTTGGCCATCCAACAGTGCAACGAATGTGCAATATTCTTAGCCGTGCTAGTGAGGAAACTAACACTGAAGCCCTTGAAATGATCGCCAAGTTTTGCCACCACTGCCAGATGAAGGGTGCGACACCCCGTCGCTCTCGATTCACTCTCCGCGATGACATTGCTTTCAACCACGAAATTATCGTTGATACTCTTGATTTGGACGGCAAAGCAGTATTACATACCGTTGACAAGGCAAATGCTTTTCAATCTGGCCGTTTTCTGAAGAACATGACTGCCAAAGAAGCGTGGGAACGCCTCCGAGAAAGTTGGATTGACACATATCTTGGTCCTCCTGACATTCTCGCCACAGATGCAGGCACGCAGTTTAGTGCAGAGAAGTTTCGTGCTGAGGCACGGCTCATGGGTATCACTGTTGTCGAAGTTCCCACCGAAGCACATCATTCAATTGGTAAGGTCGAGCGATACCATGGGCCCTTGCGCACAGTCTATCGCATCATCTGCGCCGAGTTGGGCACAGCCATTTCCCCAGAAGCCGCATTGCAGATGTCCTTTAAATGTATAAATGATAGTGTTGGCCCGAATGGTTTGGTCCCAACTCTTCTTGTGTTTGGTGCTATGCCACGTCTAAAAATGGATTCCCCTCCGTCCGCACTAACGATGCAGCGGGCCGAAGCAATAAGTAGAGCGATGAAGGAGCTAAATAAGATCAACGCCAAGCACCTAGTCAACCGTGCACTCAATACTCGCAATGCGCAGGACACATCTGACATGCAACCACTTTCTATCCCAAATGGCAGCGAAGTTATTGTCTACCGTGGCGCTAAAAAGGGATGGGTTGGTCCCTACACCATGTTAAGCACAGATGGAATCAATGTCACTGTCCAGCGAGGCACCAATCGCTCTGAATTTCGCGTCAATTTCGTCAAGCCATACAATCGCCTTAACCTAGCTATCGCCATTTCATCTGGTCTAGAGCCATTCGAATACCCGCCTGTAGAACTTCCTCGCCCGCGTGGCCGACCCGCTAATATTCCAACACCCCCTACTATTCCTAATGATGTTGTGGCAAAACGTCACGAAAAACAGTCAACAGCCCGGCCAACCAATATTTCTTTAAGAAATGCAATTCGTGGTACACGCAAAGTTACGTTAAATGATAAGCAACACTCCAAGGAACCCGAATTGCAGTCCGATCAGCCAATCGCCAAGCGTCTTCGTCCGCGCAGTCGTATCCAACAGCCCATTTATGACAGTGATTCTGATAATGATACTACTCCAGATACCGACTTATTCATCATAACTATGGTTGACGCTACGTCATTCAAGCAGCAATTCATAACCCACAAAGAGCATAGCGATAGAGAACTTGCTATCCGTCTCCGTGCTGATGGCAAGATCAATACTGCTGGGGCTCCATTCGAGCTCAGTGATATTGCTGAAATTGATAGCCTCCTAGCCCGCGGTGTATTAGTACCTACTCCCAGCAATAAAATCCCAAACGGCTGCCAAATTTTTGGGTTACGTATGGTGCGCGAAATCAAGGATAAGACAACTACACATCCGTATGAAAAATCCCGTCTTGTTGTGCAGGGATACAACGATCATGAAAAACAATTTGTCCTAACCCAGTCTCCGACTATTCAGCGTTGCAGCCAAAGACTGATCCTTGCCGTTGCTCCAACCCTGCTTAAAATAGGCATGATTTTCGTTATTCGTGATATCACACAGGCGTACACTCAGTCTAAAACGCCTCTTGCCCGTGATATCTTTGCCCGCCTCCCTTCAGAGCTAAAAGAAAAGTACCCCGAAGGTACTATATTCCGCGTTGTCTGGCCTCTATACGGTATCCCAGAGTCTGGAGCCCACTGGTTTGTTACCTATCAGAACCATCACAAGGATAAATTAGACATGTCAACTTCGGTATTTGATCCTTGCCTTCTAGTCACCAATACCGGTAAGAACTTTGGCATAGCTGGTATGCAGACAGACGATACGCTGCTCGTTGGCACTGCCGAATTCATGGCTACAGTGGAGGAAGAACTCAAGAATGCAAAGCTCCTGGCCAAGCCAAAAAATTTCCTTGCCGACGGCTCTGTAGCTGACTTCAATGGCTGCCGTCTACAAATTAAGGGCGAAACTATTGTGATGTCACAGAAAGGACAAGCCGATAAGCTCAAAGCTGTTGATATCAATACTACACATCGTCCACAAGAATATATCCAGCAGCGCGCCCGTGGCGCGTGTCTAGCCTCCATTTGCCAACCCGAAGCCGCATTCGACTATTCCTTTGCGGCCCAAGCTCAGGAGCCTACAGATGATGAGTATAGTGCTCTCAACAAGCGCATAATTTGGCAGCTCATTAACAAGGACCGTGGCCTCAATTTCGTCCCGCTAGATCCGAGCAACTGGAAGATTATGGTCTTCGCTGATGGTTCATTTGCCAATTTAAGAGACCTCTCATCACAGGTGGGTTTTATAGTAACGCTGGTCAATGAAATTGCCAAGTCTGAAGAGCAGTTCACTATAACCGGAAATCTTATCCATTGGTCATCCCAGAAATGCAAGCGTGTCACTCGAAGCGTGCTCGCCTCGGAGGTTTATGGCAACGTTGCCGGTGTGGACACCGGCTATGTTGTTGCCAAGACAGTGCAGTTGATTTCAGAGCAGTTGAAATTGCCAACAGCGCCACTAATTCTTTGCACAGATAGCTATAGTCTCTATGAATGTCTCGTCAAACTAGGTACAACATCTGAGAAACGATTAATGGTCGATGTGCAGGCGCTGAGACAGAGTTATGAACGCCGCGAAATCAGTGATATTCGATGGATTAATGGTCACGACAACCCTGCAGATGCCATGACAAAGCAAAATCCAAACAAAGCTCTAGAAAATTTTATCTCCCTCAACAAGATTACAATACGACTTGAGGGCTGAGTCGATCGGGCAGACTCCACTGTCAAAACTATAGATAACAAATTGTGGGGGTAGAACACGCGAGAAAAACGCGGCGAGAATAAACCCATGCAGCACATATCACGACTATTTTCGATTTTTTAAATTGGTGCCAGTGTCCCAACCATTAACACCATGGTAATTTGGTGGGAATTAGCTATAGGCATGTGATTGTAATGGGGTGTATGATATGATAATTGTAAACTAGGCAACAGCGAGTAAGGGTTTGTGGAGGCCCGTGCACATTCAATATATTTCTTAGCAATAGCTGCCACACAGAAAACTTAGGATAGATAGATACAATACAATACAATACATTCTACTGATTACCTTTCCCTTCGGATTCGAATCCAAGAACCTGGTAGTTTTACCAACACATGGGCCCATAGGGCGCCAAATGGGGGTAATCAAATCGAATTCAAAAAAGGACATAGTCAATCAAATTTATTTCACCACTAAAAATGAGGTAAGATGACCGATAAATTGTCCCAAAATATTGTGCTTCATTTTTGTTGTCTGAGCCGAAGAAGATTCTTTAAATTTTTATTAGAAATACATATCTCTGTCTAGTAGAACTTATTTTTCTGGTACTCCTTGAAAAATTTGATGTGTAAGGATAGGAGGTTTTTCGATACATTTGTTCATTGTTCTATTCTCCCGAGTATGTTTGGTTACTTTCTTTTCGCCGAATTGCCATCATTAACTCATACATCTGACCCATTTGTTGATCTACATATTTGTGAGCTCTCATTCGAATTGTACAATGGACTTAACAACGAAAGAAATAATTCTCTTTCTGAAGGCTCATACCGCTCATTTTCTCGACTTTTGTCGGATCCATTTTCTCCCCTATCCACGAATTGCCTTCCAACTTTTGGGCATATAATTGCCACTCGGTCAAAAAGCCAATCTATTGTAGAAGTACAATTTAGCTTAATAAAAAAGCTCGGATATTTGACATACTATGTGCACTGGATTATCGATATTTCTATGAGCCCTAAACTCACTTTTTACATATTCATCTCCGAGTACACGCATTTCCGTCGGAAGGTGTTTTCGATGGGTACGTAATAGTCGTCTATACAGGGGAATCGGAGGTAATAAAGCTATCGATCCAGGATTGGGCCCTGGCATACCTGCAGGAGAAGCTGAGGCCATAAATCTTCTAAAACTAGTCTTCATTATGAGATTAGAGTGGAGTGATGGTGAGTATCATCAGTGGAATTGTTGTGGTCAAGCTAGTGTAGCAACGTTATGAAAGGGTCCTCCTTGAATCCAAACTCCGCATTAACCTCCAACTTTCGGAAAAGATTGTCGGCTTGGCAACGCTTGTAATTTTCTTCAAGCTGGTTACGAAATATTCGATCCACAGTGTCTTCAGCTTCCTAGCTAAGGCACAATTTATATGTAACTTTTTTCCCCTCACTTATGTGCGCTATCCGTTGCGAACCTGATTTTGAAAATTTTTATCAGAACCTTGGTCGACCATATTTCTGCTAGATAGTCATTGACTCAGGTAGCATAATAAACAACCAAACAAACACAGTCACATTTTTTTGAAATTCGAATTTTCGAATATCCCCCTTTACCCCCTCTCCCTCCCTCTCGCGCTCATCGCATTCCTTCAATAAATTGTAATCGAGTCACTGGCATTTTTGTCATGCCACCTGTTCGAAAAAAGCTCCCCAACTCAATGTTGGACAACGCGAGAGCCCGCCCGAGGGCTCCTGCAAAAACACCTGGCCTCGCGCAAAAATTATCAAGCCTATTGCGAGTGAGGCCTTTATCCCAGGGAAGTCTTCAAACCTTCCCGATCAAGAGATGACTGATTCTGACCCGATCAGAACAGAAATAAATGGTCAACAGACCACAAAACCCGCCGAGCTGGCCCCCGAGGCAAGCAGTTCCAGGAAAGGAAAGGAGGTCGTCAGAGAAAAGACGACCGAACGTGCAGAATTGCCTGCCGGAAAAAATGCTGTGTCAGCCTCAAAAGGCGCAGCTTCGAAATCAGCACCGGAATATCCACCGGAGCTGCAATCAGTGATGGAGGCCGAGAAGCGTCGCACGATGCAAATCAAGGCCCGTTTATCAATCTGTTCCACTGCAATAAGCAGTGTTGAAGCAGCACTTTCGCCTCTCTCGATTGGCGACGAAAAAGAGTTTGTAGACGGCATCAAAGTCTACCTTCGAGCGGCCATTGGCCAGTTCATACAATCAGGCCCAGGGAGCACACCACCAGTTCTCCCTGCGCGCCCCATCAACCTTCCTCCGCCGAGGGCTCATGAAATTAGGGTACCTAACCCTTCGACAACCCAGGCTCCGGCACCAAAGACGACTTGGGCCACAGTAGCCCGTGCAGGTCTAGGCCGCAGCGCCGGGCCGTCGACTACAAAGGCAGCACCGCCCGCCCCAAAAGCAAAAAGTGCCAATCCGAGGACAAAAGTCGACACGAGACTTTTTCTACGCCTCAAAGCTAACCACCCCCACCGACTCCTGTCACCAGCTGGCGTAAGATTAGCTGTGTCACAGGTGCTTGGTACCGCTGCCGACAACATCACGTTGGTTCAGCGGGTCAAACCAGGCTTTGCACTGACAGCAAAGAACGAACTCGCTCGGAAAGAGCTGCTAGATTCCTCCATGTCACGGAGCGAATCTGGAATCAATTTGGAACCAGCGTCAAATCTGGTTGCCTTGCAAATTGCCACCGTACCGGTGACAATAAACACACTTGCAGGTCCCATCGAGATCACGGCAAAGATGGTTGCTGACGAAGTCACGCGAGTGACGAAATCGGTTCCGTTTCTTGTCCGTCCGCACGGGTACTGCAAGCCTGGGGCGCCATACGAGAACTGGCAAGCCCTCTTTCCTCGCGAGTCCACGCCCCGACCTGGATTCCGCCTCTTCGATGATTCTGGAGCTGCGAAGCTCTTCCGACCTCGTCAACAACTCGAACAGTGCAAACGTTGTCTTGGCTATCACGCCAGCCGCGGATGCTCTCGCGCTCCAGCTTGCTGGAACTGCGGCTCAAAGATGCACTCGGAAGTGGAGTGCAAGGCCCTCACACGATGTCGCAATTGTGGGGGACCTCACCGATCGGACTCTCGGCACTGCCAAGCCAGACCCAGAAAAGATGGACCGGTGACAAAGGAACAGCTCGCAGCAATTCGCAGAGTCGAGCAAGAAAGATATGCAGACTTTGCCCGTGTCAAAGCTGCATACAAAAAGGACGAAGAGGCGAGGAACGCCTCTGCGAAGGACGTCTCCATGGCGGAGGGATCGGGTTTCGGAATTCTAGAAACCGAAGAAGAAGTTTGAGGACTCGGCAGTCCTTGGTGAAGTCTACAACAACTTTCACAACAAAAAGCAGGAAACCAGCCGATAGCAAAGGTTACCTGAGAGCTCATCTTTCGCTCTCAGCGGAGATTAGGAAAAGTCACTTGGAAGATGTGACAGGGAAGGAAACGGGTGAGAAGCGCGGGATCTGGACCACATATGAAATTCTTCTAAATTGTTATTTATTTTTTCAGTTTATTTCAGTTTTTTGTTTGATTTACGCTTTGATTTAGTTTTGATTTAAGTTATGTTGTTAACTTCATCTACTTTTGTTGAGGTTCCCGCGGTTGGAATGAGTTGGGCCTGTACGCAGAGAACCCCACCGGCTCCACCAGTCTTGTACCGATAGTGGACCTAGAGCTTTAGCTTAGGACTTTAAAATTAAAAACAAAAAAAAAAAAAAAAACAGTCACATTTCGAAATACCGAAGTTGGCCCACGAGACAATGATTCAAAATACTTACCCATGTCAGATTTTCACTCCAATCGAGATGGATTCCTACCCAAGCTTCATCAAGTCTGCATGTACGACCTAGTACATCCTCGTTTCAATGACCATGTGTATCATCAACTATTCTCCGGTCTCTACTGGCCACTAACCACACGCCTACGACATCACCAAATCCTGCAGGAGGACAAAAATCGACACGCACAAGTCTAGGAGGCAGTTTTCTTTGGGATATATGTGAGAGAGATCAGGACAAGTTTACAAGATTATACAAAAGAAGGATACAATCTCGACGGGTGTGAAATTTCGAAATTTGGCAAGGAGTTTTACGAATTGAAGAGTATTGTGCGCGCAAATACTTCGATTGCGAGAGTGCAGCTGACACTATAAACACAAGCCAACGATGGAAAGTGTTGTGATCCGCCTCCTGGTGATGTTTTCTGGTATAGTTTGAGTAGCCTGGGCACCTGATCCACTTGGGAGAGAGACGCCTTAGATCACAATTAGCGTGGAGATAAGTTAATATATGAAGGAGGTATGTCTGGACAATTCGGGGTTTTGAGAAATTTCCTTCGATGAGTATTTATGGGTGAGGGCTGACTTGTTGTGAATAAAATGTTACCATATCTTCGTAGTTGTGACGAAACAAGATGGTTGTTGTGTACTTCAAGAAAGATTTAACTATATGAAGAGAGAAGTAACACAGCTAAGGTAATGGCTATTAGTACATACTTCCAGCTCATCCAGCACGTACTCCGTTGATTAGTATGATATATTTCTCCGTCACTGCCCGTTGTTATCCTACTTAGCCACCTGGCTTGGCTTTCTCACTTGGCAAATGTACTTCGCCGTCTCACATTCCTGCCTAGCTTCAATATTATGTGACGTAGCGGAACTTACTACCTTTACGCAAGATAGTATAGAACGTTCTCTTTGCTGCGCTCAATACTCCTCTTGAGTTTTCACCTAGGCTAAACCACAATCAAACTGTAACAGTAGTGCTACATACGAATGAGACCTGAGGCAAAAGTTCTCTATTTTTAAGTTGAATCATTCTCTGTATACTTTTTTCCCTGATGTAGTATGACAGCCTTATAGCTGCACTCGTATGGAATGGTTAAAAATAAGGTGAGAGTTGTTCTTCAGTAGTGCAACGAATTATCATGTTTGTTTGTATTATTTTACGTCTAATTAGAGTGAGCCTTAGCCCTTTGCTTCATACAACCAATCGGGTAAAGGACGCATGAATTTTCATGTTGTTTGTTTGTTGTTTGTTTTCTATTTTTCGTCCGTCGGGGCGCCAAGCTTGACTTTGGTCCCTATTACCTACTAAACTACCTAGAGGCATAGACGCCAGTGCTTACTGCCCTGGTGGCTTCGCCCTTGCTACTTCCTAACTAGGTTTGCAGGGCAGTTCTCTAATTACATGATTGCGTGTAGCAAAGCACCTGCACTTTTTCAGCCAGTCCCCGAGGCTCTTTACTCATTTGATGTATAATAACCTCTCTCGAGATACTACTACTAGATCCATTCATAAATACCGCACCATCCATCTGTAATGCACTGCTCAGAGTTGGGGCAGAGTTGATGAATTTTCATGTAACAGTATTCATTCTGTGGACTTCGTGATAAGCAGTTACCATGTCTCACGTGATGTATCAATGCAGTACATGGTCTTTGAATTTATTGTCCTACTAAGTCTATGACTTGGAAATCACAATTAGGTTCTCCCTGACTACAAGCCGGGAGTATCTATGCCTCGGGGGTTGGATGGTGCAGTGATACACCATCCGGGCCGTTCCCCCAAGTAGATACTGGGTAGCTTGAACACCTACCCCATTCGAGACAGGAGAAAGCTGGTTCGAATCCAGTCAGACCCACACACCACACTCTCTCGCGGTGACATTGTACTTGTGGGATGATGAAAGCACACTTGGATAGCCACAGGGTTTTCACGCTTTTCCCTGTGGTGGGTATGCACGGAAGAGGTTATACGCCGTAAGGGTTAACCTCGAGTGGTATCTGCAAATGAAATCTGAGTGTGAGTGTTCTAAACGTCAAATTGAATCATCCTACATAAAGCACATGTCTTCCGATAAAAACCTGCATGGGCCTCAAGGTGCCAAATCAGGATAATGAGCTATATATATATATCTATGCCTCGGGTAGTTAACTCACTTACATGCCTCCATTAAGACTTTTTTCCGGCAGTAATAGCCCGATAAATCTTCATTCGAGTGCACACCAAAAAGAGTCGTTATCCCGTCATTATTAACCTTCTCTAGCTAAAGAAATTGTGGCTATTTGTGAGTATGCTGATGTAGGGAAAAGTGTCAAAAATCACTAGATGCGGGCCACTCCCATTACCCAGGAGGACGAAGGCTGAACACTTGTCTGATGTTCGTATGACAACGACCGACACCTTCAAGATCTTATTTTCTTTTTCTCTGGAAATTCATTCCCAGCCAAAATCATCTCGCGGCCCTCTCCACAATCATCTCACCACCTACCGAAGCAATCCCATGCCTCCAAAAGTCGAATCGTCATCAAAGAAGCAAGAGGAGGTCCGACACTCCGCAACTGCAAGTCACTATGAAGGTACGGTCGAAATACCGGCCTTAGATACGTCCTCATCTCGGCCAAGGGCACCAACAACTCGACCTGCGACGAATCGCCACCGACGAAATACGTACGACATTTCGCCGGCCCACCACCTAGGGCATTCGACAAAGGCTGGGGCACCGGTGCCTCGGTCTTGAGCTCTCAGTCACATTTTTTACCTCCACGGTTAGGGGTACGGCAGCGACTGGGCAAGGCCGGAGTGTTGGAAATTCTACAAAGTTTCTGGAATGACGTGATTGGCTGAAGGATAGAGGGATGCTGTATGAAGGAACCAAAAGGGAACAAAAACTGAGGAGGCCTTGGTGAGCGACTGGATGAGGCCTCCAGGGAAGAAAACGACCCCTGGATGAGATGAAGAGATACTGTGATGAGCAAAAGCTGGGAATGAAGCGAAGGGAAAAGTTACAGATCGCGGAGGTGTCAAGGGCTCGGGCGCGTGGTGGCCGAGGCCGACGAAGAATTTGCGCTTCGGCGCGCCAAAAGGGAGTTCTCTGGACAGTTGGGCTTGAAATGATTCAACACATGGGTGGAATCTGAGGTGGTCCGGTCATTTAGGTGGGACGAGGCACTTGTGCTTCACTGTAGTTAACCTGATCCGGCCCGACCCCACCCGTGCTGAAGCTCCAGTTGGAGTGCAACGGGAATCATTATACCTAGCACGTTAATGAACAAATAAAATGTAAAATATCTGAGGTGTAAATGATTGAATCTGCTGGCTCGTGCAGTCATCAGATCTCAGCAGGTCGGATTTTCGACCAAAAACTTGCCAACACCACTCCATTCGATCGTCATCTCAACGAAAATTCTCGTGTATAGTCTATTTTGTGATGAGATCTCGCTTATCAGTGAATATTTCACTTTCTGGTTCGTAGAGGACACTGATGAAAAGTATTCAGCTTTCATCCTCCGGAACTGCCCTTTGCACCAGGAAAGTCTCTAAATTGGTGCTCATGTAAGGTAATTGTCGAACCTTTTGAGCTGGTTCGGAAGCTGTAATGATTGAGACCAGAGGTATCAGGAAGAATAGCTCGCTCAGGAGCTTTCAATTGAAGTAAATAAAAATATTTAATCCTAAAAAGACTCAATACCAGTCAACCACGTCTGTTACACGGACGCCAAGTATTTTCTAGCTGAAAATTTTCAAAAACGCCAAGGATTTCCTGAGGCGATCACAAATTTCGTCAGGCACCAGCTTGACATGTTATTCTGACAATAATGTTATGATCATATTAAAAGAATAGAATTTACATGAATCACGAAAACATCATGTCAAGAATACTGATTCCATCGGGCTCTGATCCTGGTCTGAGAGTAATCATAGGACTCCTATTGTAATCAGACATTCCTACTGAAGTTATCTTTATCATATGAAATTAAACAGTTTAGTGGCGGTGCTTGCTTGTACTGTCTATAACGCTCGTCCCTTACATCAGGGTGCGAATTGAGACAGTGGAGTAATTATCCCAGAAGGAACCTTAAAGAATAATCCTGATTCAGATAAGTAGATGCACGATAAGACAGAAAAAAGAGCGTATGCCATAATCCAATATCTTGAATGCATTATCTTGTGAACTAGACTAACGGAAATACGGAAATGAAGCACCCCTCTCTAACAGGTTATTACACAAAATTTGCGGCAATATGATTCAAATTGCACCTCACTCTTGAAATCCTAACACAAGGCTTTAAAGATAGCCCAATTGAGGTTCTGAATTTGTCATCAGCGATAAGGCACAGAAAATAGTTGCCGCAAGTTTATACGCCAATATCTGGCTTACAGGGTTAAAACCATTCACAAAGTGGGAGACCATCTAAATTTATTATCGATAGTCGATTTTTATGCGACACACGTGTAGTCATACGATCCTCTACGTTTGAAAATATCTATCAGTACTCGTCTATAAAGTTGCTAACTTATATGAGCTGGTCCTATATTATATAATACACGTAATTTTGACCAACGGATCTGCACCATAATTTGAATATACTGCCAGTTTTTGAATCAATTCAAGGTATTAAGTGAATTTGCCCTTAATAAGGTCCCACTTAACAAATAGATGACCGTTCATGAAGATTCCATCACTTTTTCAGGCGATATTTGCCTGCGACAAGCTCTAGTGCTCCCTCATCAATTTTCCGGGCGAGGAAATTTCGCAACTTCTCATCGCTGTGTGGGAAGCCATCTACCAGGAGCATCTTAAGGATCATTGTTATCTGTGGCAATGGCATTTGGCTTGCTGAATTGGTGAGCATTCCAACAATATATTGCCAGTACATGTCCATTTCTTTCAAAACTCCGCTACCATCTGTCTCAAGATTGCGTGAATGTTGCATATCACTCTCATCTGGATTACTTGGTATCACACCGCTTACTCGCTTGTTATTCGATCGAGCACGCTCAACGGAGCTGAGGCTTTCAAGCACTGTAAAAGTATCGGGCTGAAGCTCGTGCAAGATCAGTTTTTGGTTCCAAAATTTAAGAGCGCGTCGGATGACACTTTCATCCATTCCAAGATATTCGGTTAGTTCTTGAACGCTACGGGTTAGACTAGTGCCAACTGCATTTTCACTTTGAAAAGCCCAAATGACTGCAGCCTGCCACGTGTGCACCTCTTCCACTAGATATCTATCTTCAAGCTCAAGTTCAATAGTTGCATGGCCTAGCATATGATTCCAAGATAGCTTTCTAGATGCCTTGACTGTTTGAAATCCTTCTTCATACTTCTTCTGGAGCTCGGCAACTTCATCAGGTATTTGATAGGTTTCCGCAAGAAGCTCAGGCCAGAAGAGTCGCGAGAGAATCTTAGCGTGGAGAGAAGGTTTAATAAGTCCTTCAGCATTGCCTTTGGCTAATTGCGAAGAGGATTGATTTGCTAGTTTTATTTCTTGTTTACTAGGATCAAGCTTCTGTATTCTACGAATAACGCCATTAAGCCTTTCAGAATCTTGAATATCTCGAAGCATGACTTCACACGCCTGGAGTGGAGCCTCCCCGAAGCGCAACTTTAGCAGCTCCAAGACTTTTATCTAGATGCATGTGAGTAGATGTGAGATGTAGTGTCAACAGGGAAAGAATACTTCGCTAGAAAAGTCTCCATTATATTTCAAGAAGCGACCTGCAATTATCCTTTGAAATTCCTTGATAAACACTTCTTGCGTACCAAAATCTCCAACAAGAGTCCCGAGAATATCAAGATCTTTTGATCTTTTGTAGCCTGGTCCTGCGTCAACAGGATCGGGAATCCATTCCATGTCATTCCAATCTTGTCCTTCATCATCAATTCTAGACCCAAAAGGCTTAGCTTCAGTATGCAGTAGGTGAGCTAATTCCGTTAGCTTTTCTTCTTCATGAGCGCTTTTACCTTCATCTATATCCGCCAGGAGACTAGAAATAATGATCTGCACAGTATCTTCGCGAGTACTTAGATACAACTGTAGTGGGTATGCGACTCGATCTAGCAGAACTTTTGAATGATCAAGTGAGTGGAAAGATCTTATTATTGAAATGTAAGTTTTCAGAATATGTGTTGTCGATGCTGCTGGGTGTAGAACTCTAGAAGCTAGAACCCGAGAGAAGTTTTCTGTCAAATAAAGTCGTCTCTGAGTCGAGGTTATTGCAGTTCGAAGATCACTCAAGGCCCCATGAGCTTGGGGCCAACTTTGAATAATATTGAATAACTCTTTAGTGCGGAGTGCTGCAAGTCTAGCAATGCTCATCTCCTTATATTTTTCTTGTTCTACCCATGATAAATTAATCCCATTATCAAGCAAGCCTAACACTTGCACCACAAGCTTTGTATATCTTTCTTTTACCCACTCACGGATGTCTAGCACACATTTAGACGAGTGTGTCTTCGTTTGTGTTGTATCTAAATTGATAATTCCGAAAGACAAGTTGCGGTCTTGCGAGCTAGAAATAATTACCGGGTTATCTAATGACCAAGTATCTTTGAATCCCTCATAGACAAATTCTGAAACGGCAGAATTCATACTTTCAGCAAAAATAACTTGAAACCTTTCGCCGGCCAGACCAATGTTTTTAAGTTTTTCTATAAGTCCAAGTGCTGCCCGTCGTGCATTTTCAGATTCGTGATCCTCTACACCTATTGACTTGGCCCTTGGGTTTACACGTGATGGCAGTCCAAGAACTAGAGCTATATAGCGCTGAAGAACTGACGAGATACATTCTGCGAGGACTTCCATAGTAGAATTACTGACAATTGTATTGAGGTCCCTAATAAACCTGGACACAACAGAATAGGAGGTGCCACGTGCAGATAATTCAATTTGTTTTTCGATAATTAAAAGTCCACGATGATACTGGTGGAGAACCACTTCTAAAAGCTGAGTGCTCCGATACAAAGTGATATCTGGCTCCCATTTTTCCTCCTTGAATCTGAGTATCTGAGGTAGAGCTTGGTTGAGAAAGTGTAATCGAACTTGTGATGAATACCATAAAACAATTTCACGTTTATTTAATGCCTGAGGCACATATTCATCCGGGAACAGTAGAATTTGCAACGCAGACAAAATTTGGGTATCAACTATTTCTATGCCATTTTTGGCTTTTTTTGATAGGCCTTGAATTTCACTCAAATAAGCATCGCTAAGTGAGTGAGTGACTAGGTCCCAAGCTGCGTCCCATTGCGTTTGATGCCATGTCTCAACGGAATGTGTGATGAGCGAGGAGTTAGATGATTCAAATTTCCGAGAGAAGTGGATGTTATCAATGTGACTTTTGCTGCAATCAATCTCGAAGACAGTTCGAAAAATCTGCCGTTTTCTAGCACTGAGGCTGTGCTGCGACATCTTCGGCCCTTTTTGAGAACTCATCTGCCTTTCTGCGTCCCAAATGTGCACTGGTTTCGAGAATTTGGTTGGCATCCAGAAATCGTAGTTATGAAACCGAGTTAATTTGTTGCGATAGTAAACTTTGTACTAGCTTGGCGATAGACTCACGATGAATTTAATATTGATGAAAGAAACTGCTTGTGGTTAACTGCTGTTTATAAGCTTCTTGATGATTCCGAATGATTAGAGCGTGTTTGTTCATGAAGTGTTCCCAACTTCTTGTTTCTAAATTTCCAGATAAATATCAAATGTTTGCTGTTATTTGGAAGTTGACGATTAAAATATGGGCTGGAAGGAGAAACTAACTACGTCCATAGTTTACATTTGTGCGTGGCTGATTCATTTTGTGATCGTTGGTGCGCACTAGATCCCTTTTCTCAATTAATAGGACATGAGAAAAATTATATCTTTAGATGTAAAGCCTATGACTACGTACTTGAAAGTTGTTGATCAATGCAACCTTTTGCAGAAACTAAGTGTAAAGAAATGATAACTCAACCGCGCTCGAATCGTTAGACGTCATAATCAGCGTGTTCCCTATAAATGGCCCGTCCTGAACCCATCATATACAGCAGCGTACAAATCTAGTGTACAATACTGTGCTGCTTGAATCTATGACTATCTAGCACATCGGGCTCCTCTCTAACCCAGGCCACATCTTGGAAAATGCTCCTATCCTCTTTTGTTGTTTTAAAGATCATTGATATATTGCCCGTGATGAATAGCCATTCAGCTCAGTATTTACCCGTGGAATTCGGCCACCTTTTCCACGGAACCTTCTATCCAAAAAAAATAAAAATGGTAGCAATGGAAACTGCGTGCGCGGGAAAAAGTCTCAAAAAACCTGCAGTCCCGGCCAGGCGAGGCCTAGACACCGGGACCACATGAGGTGCGCATATTCATCTATATCTCCCTTCTTTGTAACAGTCGAGGTCGACTTGATCCTATCCACTATCTCCGTATCGGGTGCTGAGTACGCTCCGGAAACCCATCGGTTGGCTTCTCGTCTATGTTTAAGGGTTAGTTATGAGAAGAGCTCCGGCCCTACCATCTGATCAGATCATGCTGAGCTTCATGATAGTGGTGATAGGTGAATGCGTTGGGAGATGAAGACGATACAGACCGCGAAAGCGATTAGGAATCTTCATCGAAGTGAGAACTTTGTTACTCAATCTCGGCTCTGCAGACTCTACAGTGAGAGCTGGAGTTTCGTAGGGGACAACAATTACAGGTGTTGATAATAGTCCCCCTTGCTTTTAAAGTGTTAGCTGCACTCTCGCAATCAAAGGCCTGACGTGCATAATGCTATTACATTTAAGAAACTCCTTGCCCAAATTTGAAATCTTACACCAGTCGAGATTATATCCTTACTATGCATCATCTGTAAACTTGTCCTGATCTCTCTCACGTCCATCCCCAAGAACTTCATCCCAAATTTGTGCGCCAAGATTTTTGTTTTCCATGAGTATTCAAATTATTGTGGGCGTATATTCAGTGACCATCTAAGGGCTGAGAATAGTCAATAATAGGCATGGTCATTGAAATGAGGATGTACTAGGTTGTATTTGTAAACTTGGTGAGGCTTCGGTGGAAGAGATGTAGCGGGTTATGTAATGTGGTTATGTAATTAGATCTAGTAGCGCAGCGGTCGTATACTTACGCATCGTGGATAGAAAACAATAGAGTACTTGCGAGCTCCCACAGCTCCGAACCCTAACATATTTCTGTAGGGATCGTTCTCGTTGAGATTGGAAATTTAATATGGTAGAGTATTGAAACATTGCCTCGTGGGCTAACTTATTCGATAATGTGAAGTTTGACTGGACTTAGCTCTGAGAGAATATTTCACACCCAGGTTCGTAGAGAACACCGCGTACAGGCGTTCAGCCTTTGCCCATCAAGGCTAGAGGCGGCATCTCTAGAACTGCTCGTGAACTCATGACAGATTTCCCTTTGCATACCTTCCGTATCACTCTGATTATTTTTATTAATTCTTCAAATGCTCAATTTATTAGGAAATGGCCGCTTTATGTCGCTTATCCTTTTCCATCGCAGTTACAGAAACATGTAGCTGCGTCTTAACACAATGTTTCAATGGCAGGTCCTCTCAGCGTCCAAGCGAGCATTTCGGCTGGAGGGTAAAGACTGAGCATCTATAAGCGGTGTTCTCTACGAACCTGGGTGTGAAATATTCTCTCAGAGCTAAGTCCAGTCAAACTTCACATTATCGAATAAGTTAGCCCACGAGGCAATGTTTCAATACTCTACCATATTAAATTTCCAATCTCAACGAGAACGATCCCTACAGAAATATGTTAGGGTTCGGAGCTGTGGGAGCTCGCAAGTACTCTATTGTTTTCTATCCACGATGCGTAAGTATACGACCGCTGCGCTACTAGATCTAATTACATAACCACATTACATAACCCGCTACATCTCTTCCACCGAAGCCTCACCAAGTTTACAAATACAACCTAGTACATCCTCATTTCAATGACCATGCCTATTATTGACTATTCTCAGCCCTTAGATGGTCACTGAATATACGCCCACAATAATTTGAATACTCATGGAAAACAAAAATCTTGGCGCACAAATTTGGGATGAAGTTCTTGGGGATGGACGTGAGAGAGATCAGGACAAGTTTACAGATGATGCATAGTAAGGATATAATCTCGACTGGTGTAAGATTTCAAATTTGGGCAAGGAGTTTCTTAAATGTAATAGCATTATGCACGTCAGGCCTTTGATTGCGAGAGTGCAGCTAACACTTTAAAAGCAAGGGGGACTATTATCAACACCTGTAATTGTTGTCCCCTACGAAACTCCAGCTCTCACTGTAGAGTCTGCAGAGCCGAGATTGAGTAACAAAGTTCTCACTTCGATGAAGATTCCTAATCGCTTTCGCGGTCTGTATCGTCTTCATCTCCCAACGCATTCACCTATCACCACTATCATGAAGCTCAGCATGATCTGATCAGATGGTAGGGCCGGAGCTCTTCTCATAACTAACCCTTAAACATAGACGAGAAGCCAACCGATGGGTTTCCGGAGCGTACTCAGCACCCGATACGGAGATAGTGGATAGGATCAAGTCGACCTCGACTGTTACAAAGAAGGGAGATATAGATGAATATGCGCACCTCATGTGGTCCCGGTGTCTAGGCCTCGCCTGGCCGGGACTGCAGGTTTTTTGAGACTTTTTCCCGCGCACGCAGTTTCCATTGCTACCATTTTTATTTTTTTTGGATAGAAGGTTCCGTGGAAAAGGTGGCCGAATTCCACGGGTAAATACTGAGCTGAATGGCTATTCATCACGGGCAATATATCAATGATCTTTAAAACAACAAAAGAGGATAGGAGCATTTTCCAAGATGTGGCCTGGGTTAGAGAGGAGCCCGATGTGCTAGATAGTCATAGATTCAAGCAGCACAATAAACACACACACTATGTCAAGTGTCAAGTGGGTTGCACGGATCATGACTAATAACTCTATGAGATCTAGTGGGAGCTGGAAATCACGTGGCGATTTGATGGCATTTCAGGAAGCTAGTGTTTGAAGAAGATGACGGAATATATTACATAGGTAAATTTCGACTGAAGCAATGATCAAATGCGTGTACAGGAGGCGTTAGTATAAATAGTACGGGCTTGGTTTTGTTTTTAGCGGTCCACTTCACCAAATACTTGAAAGAGTTAGTAATAATTATTGTTGAAAGCTGAGTTAACTTACCCAAGTCCATCGTTCCAATAATTGCTACAGCATCTGCCAATAAATGTCCCCTTGAGACTTGATCAAACCCTCCAAGATGGGCAAATCCAGGTGCGCGAATTTTGCATCGATATGGCCTCTCACTCCCGTCACTGACGACATATACCCCCATCTCACCTTTGGGAGCTTCAATTGCTGAGTATGTCTCTCCTGGTGGTACTGTATATCCTTTAGTAAATAGTAGGAAATGATGGATCAAGGCCTCCATATTCTCTTTCATTGCTGCTCTCGGTGGGGGGGAAATCTTATAATCTTCTACTCGTACCGGGCCTGGTGGCATTTTGTTTAGGCACTGATGAATGATCCGGAGAGATTGCCTAAATTCTTCCATTCGACAAAGATATCGATCATAGCAATCGCCATTGACACCGACAGGAACGTCAAATTCCACTTCACCGTAAGCATCATAAGGTTGACTTTTACGAATATCCCATGGTATACCCGAGCCTCGCAGCATTACACCTGAAAATGAAAGATTTAATGCGTCTGCAGCTGAAACTACACCGACCCCTTTGGTTCGACCGATCCAGATTCTATTATCAGTTAAAAGCTCTTCGGTTTCATCGATGCGATCTCCGAATTGGGTTGCCCATTGGTAGATGTCATCGAGCAGCCCGACAGGTATATCTTGGTGAACACCACCTGGCCTCACGTATGCTGCATGAAGACGAGCACCGGAAACTCTTTCATAGAATTCCTAAACTTTTTAGCGATCTAAACATTTTTTATCAAAATAAATTTTTACCATGAGCTTCTCTCTCTCTTCGAAGCCCCATAAAAATGGAGTAAGAGCACCGACATCCATAGCATGGGATAGAACCGACATTAAATGATTCAAGATTCTTGTAATCTCCCCAAATAAGGTCCTAATCCACTTTGCTCGTTCAGGTATTTCGATATTTAAAAGTTTCTCCACCGCCAGTGAGAAACATTGCTCGTTGGTCATCATAGAAACATAATCAAGTCTGTCGAAATATGGTAAAGCCTGGAGATAAGTCTTGTACTCAATCAGTTTCTCCGTTCCCCTATGAAGTAGACCGACGTGTGGATCTGATCTGATAATTTCTTCGCCTATGCCCAGTTAGATCTGTAGCCTTGGCGAGCTTCAATCATACCATTTAGTTCAAGAATAAGTCGCAAAACACCATGTGCAGCAGGATGCTGCGGTCCAAAGTTGACTGTGTAGTGTCTTATTTTTCGATTCTTAGATTATAACTCAGTGTCATGCTACAGTGTATTATCATTGTCACCTTACCTCCACAGACTCACTTTTATCTGACGTAGTCTGAACGTGTTGTAAATCCTCAGTAAGCTTTGGTTGAGCAAAATATTCATCGGTGGGAACTAATTTTGTAGCTTGGTAAATTTCGGAGTATCTCTGCAGACTGCTTGACGATATGAGTCTAGTAGATGATTTCCATGTTCGAGGGCAGACTAATCTTGCATGACGACCAGCGAGTCTAGATAATATTGCCATATTATGTGAGGACTAATGATCGTGTCCAGTATTTCAAATTCGTTAATTTTTAATCTAATAAGATCTATGAATGATATTGCTTATCGGTACATGTATGTTTGTAAGCCTTGTCTATGACAGATAGATTGCGGTTGGCCAATAGGATTCTCGGGCAAGGTAATTATCAAATTGGATTAGTGCCACGATGAAACCCAATTTATTGACATGCCGTGTCGGGTCACCCCAGTCTTTACTTAAAGGAACCATCAACTCTAACTGGTTAACATCAGAAAATCCTGGTAATCGCAGGGCCATACATTTTATTCAATCCTAGTAGTGAAAAACGGTAACGCTTAATACATGCAGTAATTACTCGCTCATAATAAAGGTAGCTTTGCGCTCTGCTCGCACAACTGCAAGGCTGAACAAATTGCCGGAAAAAATTAAATTCGTGTTTAACCAAATTTCATCAACAAATTTGAATGGCACCTGAAAGTCCACCTGCTCCATTCGATCGACGGCGACTGGTCGGCATAAATCTGGAGACAGTGACTGATGTCTCTTCGACTGACTATCCGGGACACTATCCAGGAGAAGATCATTCGTGGAATAAAAATATCTTCGCTCAAAATTTTCACGTTAGACTATGTTCAAGCTTTACGATAGCAGTCATTCTAATAAGTTGTTTACTAGGTCCAATTCCATCACAATGAGCCAATAGACTCTTCGTTTTCTCTCATTGGCATAGATGCATCGGTGGCCAATGCATTCAGACGTATTATGATCGCTGAAATTCCAACTTTAGCAATCGAATATGTCTTCATGCGTAATAACACTTCTATAATTCACGATGAAATTTTAGCACAGAGGCTTGGACTTGTACCCCTAAAGGGCGGTAAAAAGGGACTTCTTGATTTCCTAAAATGGTTCAAAATGCCGGGAGAAGGCGAGGAGCCGCAAGCTTACGACTATAATACTGTAGTTCTGGAACTCAAGGTGGAGTGTACCGTAAACTCAGAGGCTAATAACAGAGAAACAGACAGTCTTAAGAAATATCATAATGCTCATGTTTATGCCAAAGACCTCGTATTTAAACCTTATGGCCAACAAGTATACGAGTTCGCGGGGGAAGACGCTATAGGAACAACATACCCAGATATTTTAATTGCCAAACTCCGGCCCGGTCAATGCATTGATCTTCAAGCACACGCTATAAAAGGCATTGGGAGCGATCACGCAAAGTTTTGTCCGGTAGCCACAGCAAGCTATAGACTTTTGCCTTCAATTGAGATTTTGAGGCCAATAATCGGAAAAGACGCAGAAAATTTCGCGAAGTGTTTCCCAAAAGGCGTAATAGAGCTTGAAAGTATCACAAGGGAAGAAGCTTCACAGCATAAAAGCAGTTACAAAGGTCACGAGGGTGAAATGAAAGCTGTTGTAAAAGACGCAATGCGAGATACCGTAAGTAGAGAATGTTTAAGATATGATGAGTTCAAAGGGAAGGTTAGACTTGGCAGAGTTAGAGACCATTTCATATTCTCTATTGAAAGTCTCGGGCAATGGGATAGCGACGAGCTTTTTCTCGAATCTGTAAAAATCCTCAGGCTTAAGTGCGAAGCACTGAAGAGTAGCCTGGTCAATCTAACACAATGAAATAATAATCTCAACAAACATCTTGATGGGTCAAGATGATGAGTCAGATAGTGGTTTGCTGGTGGGGATTTTACAATGTCAACATCTGATTTACTAATCTATGCATGTAAAAATTTTGATATTTGTCATAAACTTATAGGTACTTCAGGTGCTATTTAATAATAACTATGTGTTATAGTAAACTAACTATGACTCCTGCGGTCTTTAATGCAAACCCAAAATTCCTCATCAATTCAACGGGAGCTCGGGTTTAACTGTAAATCTCGCCTTGTACCTAAAACTGACTCCCGTCAACGAAGGATCGGTTATTCCAAACTCTTGCCCATTCAATATCAGTTCGTGTATCTTCTTCGTTAAATTGGAAGAGGTCTGCAGCTTCAAGCTCTCTGGGCTTTGCATGTATATAGTCTTTTCTTGTGTACGTATAGATGGGGTCTTTAATTGTGATTCAGGCCTTTCCGCCAACGAATCAATAAACTCTTGTAGAGTAATATTCGGATCAATTTCCAACTCTCTAGCTAGTTCGCCGCAAACTGGACAGTCCGTCTTTTGCTTGTGCTTGAATGTGTAGGTGTATATACTATCGGTGCCACTGTACATCATATAGTTCTCTTGCATACCCAGAGAGGGATTCACTCCAGTGGCTATCTTCAGAGCTTCATTGCAACAACTGGCCGCGATGATAGCATTAGTTGATGCAATCGCTGGAATAATATTTTTGATAACACCTTGGGTTAAAGGATAGGTGACCCCTGTAATTTTATATTCTTCTGCTCTTTTCAGGGCTTTTTTGTACAGCCAAGAAATATGTTCAGGGTCATCGTTATCTAGGCTTGGGAAAGGCTTCTCACTCTCCCAAGCAATTATATGAGCCCATTCAATACAGTGCTCTGGTTGACGTGGTATTGTTGCCAGCGTACAGAGAGGTACGGCAGCTCGCGGTGCGTGCATATCAAGCTGACATTCAATGCAGGAGGTCATGGTAGGTAAAATTACTCTTGACTGACCTCTAAATCCTTCAGTGCCGCCATCTATTAGCACCTTGAGGCTATCTGGATTTTCTTCGTCAACTAGCCCAACTAGTATTGCGTTAATCCATCGACGTGCCTCTATACTGTCCAATCCACATATGATAATGCTGAATTGCATATAAAATTCATCGTCTTTGTCCTGAATTTTACAATTGTGAGGAGTGATTGACACCCCCACGACCCTTTCTGTCACAAAGTATGCTGCAACTTCAGCTTTAGAGCGCCCAATATCGGTCTCACGGAAGAGGAATTGGCGATTGAGATTTGAAACATCGATGGTGTCTAGTGGTATTTAATAGCAACTCGGCTTAAATTTTTCTTAAAGACTAACCCATGTCGATCAGGTGTATGTCCTTAAATCCAGATAAAGCTAAGTTTTTCAAAATTTCACATCCAAGTCCTCCAGCACCTCTGGTCTAGTGTCAGCTACCTCTAAAGGATTATTATTTTTTCCGGGACATATCAACATCACACTGTAGGATGTCAGCATATTCGCCTTGTACTGGGAATCGTTGATTTCCCACAGTAGTTTCATACTATCAATTCGACGAACTGCTTCATAACTTGTATCAAAATCTTCATCTGTGAATGGACCAGGGTTGCAACGGATGTTGTCGAGGTAGAGCCTAAGACTCTTAGAAAGCTAGAACTTATCATCTATGACGAATACTTGCCATCGTGAAAACTCATTTGCAGTCGATGATGTTGCTGCCGCCATATTTTCGGATTTTGTTGGTAATGTCAATAGTGAGGAACATAACGACATTGATAGCCTATGTGGGCTTTGCAAGGATCTACCCAGAAAGCTGAAGTGAAGCACAGACCAGATTTCAGCCCTGTGCTCCTATCCATAATATGTGCGGCGTGTGGGTCGACAGTAGAGGATATTGACAAAAGAAGTCTCTCATGTACGAATGGACGGGATTCTCACTACGTTAAACGTGTCACTCAAAGATACTTGTGAGTCGCAAGTATCTGATGCAAAAAATATTGGGGTAAATTTTACCACCAGACTACCTCAACATGTAACGACATTAGAAGAAGCCCTTGAAGTCCTCAGGAATAAACCAGATTATCCAAGTCTGGTAACAACTTTGGAATATCTTTCGCAGGAAGACTCTCTGAGGAGCTTGTACTTGCCGACACCTACATCATCGCAGCTAGTTCATGTGTTAGTGTCAGAGACTATTCCTACATACTGGCATGCATTATCTGATCCAGAAAATGTAAGAGGTCTAAGGAAGGATAACCAAAGGTTAATATCACCCGAGCTAAGGATCATTTTTTCCTGCCTTGAAAGTATGACTGGGATAAATTCTATAGTTTTGAATCTCAAGCAATTTATTCAGCTAGCAAAAGAATCAACAAAGAAGGTTCATCCAGGCTCAAGCGCGCAAGAAGTACTAAAAATCTTGTTAAGTCTCTTAGAAACTTTACTTGAAGGAGAAAATACAATCGAAAAGATTTGGAGTAATATGTCTAACGTCTCCGACGACCCAGCAATGAGAAATATCTTGTGGACCCAATTCCAAAATACGTTTGGTGGGAATAAGATTATAGGAATATTTGCTGAAGCAGAGAAATTATCGAAGCCTTCAAACAGCTGTGTGGATCAAAATTACTGGGTTTCAGACGGAAAGAAATATTGCCTTTGGCTTGCTTCCAATATCACGAGTTGGTCAAGAAGCTCTGCAAATTCAGAGATAACATTGAAGAGATGCGCAGATATCCTTGGAAAATCCTTAAGTCTTGGATGCAGTGGTACGATTTGATAAACTTTTTCATTCTTTGTCTAATCTCGTATTGAACAGACACTGTGATTAAACAGGTCGTCACCAAATTACTTCTCCAAGAAGACGAATGCTCAGAATTATTTTCTAGTATCCTTGCCAATCTTTCGGTATTTGGTCAACGTAAAGTTCTTTTTGAGACAATTAGGATATCTTCAAGAGATTTCTTCCGCAAAGAATTAGCAAAAACAGAATATTCTAAGTGGTGGATTACAGATGCTGCATCAGTATCAGCGGTAGCAGCAATGGTTCAAAAGATAATTTCTAAAGATGAAAAGAGAAAAGTTCATATAATTGAATGGCTCACCAGCTCTGTTGGAGCTGGTGTAGGAGATGGAATTGCCATTAGGAGATCAGTCTTAGCTGCAGTCTCTTCGGATAAAGATTGTATTGAAACCATATTTGAAAGATCTATGCAACAATTTGGCGACAATTTATACATTCGACATACTCCAACACTACAACAAGAAGGTATGTTTTAAGTATATTTCAGTAAGCTTACTGATTCCTTGCCAAAGTACATTGCCAAGTTCTTTTACTTGCCGCTGGGTATCTTTACAGACAATCCCCACTCGGACTAAAAATGATGATGAGAACAGGTGCTAACCTAAGTGTCATCTCAAATCGTCTAGCTTCATCCTCAAATCGTATTAGATTCCTAGGAATGGTTGTCGGTGAGGCCCTATCTAGTCTTGTTGATAGTGACTGCAACAAGATGGAATTCAAGGTAGAAGAGATGACTACGCATGAGACTGAGTGGTATAAAAGCCTTGTGTATGTTTTAGACAGTGTTGGCTCTATAAAAAAACTGAACTTACAGCCCAATTCGTACGATTATAATCAAATACAACCTCAGAAGCTTGGGGCTTTAAAAGCTACCAAAACTTTATCGAGAGCAAGCTCAAAAATTGTGGCCATTGAGGAAGTTATGATAAATAGGCTGAACCCTGAGGATGATGATTTAACTCCTTATATAAAACCTGATTCCGACGCAGAAGACTCAGACGACGATCCAACTGTCATTGATCGTAATAAACCGATATCGCCTGTCTATGTCCGAGATTTAATTTCATATCTACGAGATAGCGAATCATATGAACATCAGAAACTAGGCCTCAACGCAGCAGCATCGCTTATTCGGCGTAAGGCGAATTTCGGTAGTGAAATAACAGATCATGCAGAGGAATTAGCCGCCCTTTTAGTCGGGATTCAAGACAAGTATGAAATTGAAAATTTTTCGGAAATGCGCTTGCAGAGTATGATAGCTCTTATCATTGCGCTGCCTTTGAAGATGGGACAATGGTTCTCAAAAACTTTTTTCGAAGGCGACTACTCAATCTCACAACGCTCGGCAGTGCTTACAGCTCTCGGCCTCGGAGCACGTGAAATTGGAGGATTTGGCGAAGAAGATGCCCTTCTTTCTAGCAACAAGACCCCTATGTTTTCTTTCCCCTCCAAAATGCTTCCTATTAGTATGCAGGAAAATTTTGGTTCTAGAAAAGTGGATCAAGTCGGTGCGCTTTCGAACCAACTAGCCAACACTATGATCGAGCCTATGGCAACTTCACTTGCAGATAAACTCACTGGACCATCTATCCTGAAGATTCGAAAATTTTCTTCGCGTGTAGAGGTAGAGAGAAAACGCCGAAAACCCTCCCCTAACTTACTGGCAAAGATTGTAGCCGACGGGTTTTTGTTTCCCATGACAGGGAGGTTTCTATCGTGCCAGCACTCATCAACTATGTCGGCTCGGTCAGTTATTTTTCAGCCCTTTCTTCTTTCTCACTTCATAAAGACTATTTCATTAGTTCTACACGCTGCGGGCCCATTCGCCATATCACTCCCACAAATGACGATAGAGTTTTGGGACTTACTTTTAGGATTACGGGTAACAGCACAAAATGAAAGGATAGTTTGTGAAGCGCTCTGCTTTTCAATTTTAACCATCTTAGAGCTAAATTTGGAAAACTCAACCTTACAGCAAATTCACGGGCGGAGATTATCAGAGACTTATGAATGGGTTATGATTGTCTTTGGAGCACTTGGACAGGGAGAGGAAGACGAGAGATGTCGCATGATAGCCGCAGGATGCCTAGTAAGGATACAAGAAATACAGGAGATGTATCGAAAGACACTGCTTGGTCTAGATTAGGTCGATTTAATTCTTGTTATAAGTTAAAACACCTGCCAAAGCAAGACTTGAATACAAAGAATTCATATGATCCGACAATATTTTATGCTAAAGACCAACAGTTTAGCGGGATAATTCGGCAGAACTTATTACAAGCTTGGATCTCGAGACGGAGGATAGCGTCGATGTTATTATTTTTAAAATTAACATGCTTGGTAATTGACAACCTCAGCACTCCCATGGGAGCATGATCATGATTGGGGATAAGATTGGTCAGATTAACTGATATTAAGTACATAAACCTCGTCCCACCTGAATGACTAGACCGCCCCGGACTTCACAGATGTGTTGAATCATACAAAGCTCAGCCTTCAAAGGAACTCAATTTTAACTTCTGAAGTTCGAACTCCCCTTTAGCCCCGACCACAAAACATCCTGGACCCGAGGATTTGTCAGCTTCTCAACATTTTATTTTCTCTTCTTTTTAGTCTCAGCTATGCCATGTTCTAGGATTCCCTCATCTCATTGAGAACCTGTTATCTCAGTAGAAGGTCTTAACAAGTCACTCACAGAGGCCTCTTTATTCATGCACTCCTTATGGTACTCTTTTATAGCTTGACCTACATACATTGGCCCATGATGCTATCTCAAAAACCTTGAGAACTATGCGTCCCTCTAGTTTTACTCTGTTGCTACTTTACCAATAGTCATGGAGGTCTACTAGGCAAAGAAAGGCTCGGTACCGATGCATCAACTCTTTGAACTTTCGCAAATGCTCTAACTATTGTGCCGTCAAGACGTTATATCCACTTCTTCGGTTGCGATCCGGCGAAGATAAAATTAATGATTTTCTCGGCCTAAGTATCGTCACATTTAAAGCCAGTACTTCGAACGCAACATGATAGTACTCGTTAATTGCCAAGGATCAGGTATTTTGTATCTTTGAAGGTTATTTTAAATGCTTGAATTCTGAAGTACTTCACTGGTTCGCAAGACAAGCTAAGCTTATAAAGTTCTAGAAGAAAGAATCATGTTAATTCAGAATTTCAGCTGTTGCAATATAAAATCATGTCCTAAACAATTTTTGCCTGGTAAAGGGTATTAATGGATTCATAATATGAAAATCAGACTTCCCCAGACGTATTTTTGGCTCATGATTGGGATATCGTTGTTTTGATTGGGCTGTTTGTGTGTGTTTTATTGTACTACTTGAGTCTATGACTATCTAGCACATTGGGCTCCTCTCTGACCCAGGCCACACCTTGTACAGTGCTCCTATCCTCTTTTGTTACTTGAAAGATCATTGATATATTCCCCTTGATGAATAGCCATTCAGCTCAGCATTTACCCGTGGAATTCGGCCACCTTTTCCACGGAACCTTCTATCCAAAAAAAATAAAAATGGTAGCAATGGAAACTGCGTGCGCGGGAAAAAGTCTCAAAAAACCTGCAGTCCCGGCCAGGCCAGGCCTAGACACCGGGGACCACATGAGGTGCGCATATTCATCTAAATCTCCCTTCTTTGTAACAGTCGAGGTCGACTTGATCCTATCCACCATCTCCGTATCGGGTGCTGGGTACGCTCCGGAAATCCATCGGTTGGCTTTCCCTCTATGATCTAGGGTTGGTGATGAGTAGGGCTCCGACCCCACCATCTGATCTGATCGTGGTTAGCTTCATGATAATGGTCATAGGGGAATGCGTTGAGAGATGAAAACGATACAGACCTCGAAAGCGATTGGAAATCCTCATCGAAGTGAGGATTTGATTGGGTTGTTCAGCCAGGAAATCCCCAGATGTCAGATTTCCCACCAAAAGCGGGTAAACATCACACCTGTTTATTGTTATCTTGTCATAAACTCTGACATACACCCGTCATCGAGGCTGAATTTCAGCTCCGAAAAACAATTCACCCCTACGTACGCAAATTCTATCTCAGATTAGTTTTCAGCGCTTACACACTGACGAGATGGTATGGACATATGCACAGTAGACGTTAGTGTATTAGCTGAAGGCGTACATTAACTGAAAAAAACCATGATCAAAATTTAAGCTGTGGAAACGTAAATATCTGAAGAGACTAGGGAAACTAATAACTATATGAATGATTATTGTTTGAAGGTATTAATTGTTAGATCATAAGTTTCCGCTAACATTAGTCGATGCATTTTTTATTCCACATATATGCAGCTATCTGACGACGACGCGTCAGTGCTATGTGTAAAAGGACGAAAGTCATGGTCGCTACACGCAAGCAATGCCACAAAATAATCTATATATATTAAAATATACGTAGTCTGATCACTTTTTATAACTTGACAATAGACTCTGCACAGCAAATGTAGGGCGTGAATGAATCAGGATTGAATTGATATCCCATAGTGGTGATATGAGTTAGGTCTTGTAGATGTCCACATCCACCAAACTGTGTTCCACTTATTTACTCTATTCTCAAAGTGTCTCATTCTCTCGTATAACTGAGAGGTACTCTGTCAATGACTTGAGACATCAAAGAATGACTACTCCTATACTTGTCAGATCGTCTCTACGACTCGTCGCATACACTACTGAGTGAATAGCAACTGGCGCGTCTATCATCCAGACAGTGTACGGCTTGTAACTAAGCGTATCGTGTAATACGATACTGAAGGCTCTACGTTATATCTACTAGGACATGATCTATGTTGAAGTATCAGTCACTGAGCCTTAGAAGATATGTGACTTGATTTGTGAGCTGGGCTAATCTAGGGTCTACAGAATGTATCATAAATGTAGAACTTAGAACTTAGTACAGTCAGACCCCTGTTAAGACGATCCTCCTTAAGAAGATAATTTTTCCACAACTGACTTCGTCCCCATACATTTACCGATTACATGATTATCGTTCTTCAACCTCTAAATATCGTCTTAACCAGGGTTTTCTTGCTAGATTTATGCTAAAAATGCCGCCAATAAGGGAATTTCTGTGGAGCAATGATATTCTCTGTATGACGATATTTTTCACGACCCCGATCACATCGTCTTAACAGCGGTTTGACTGTAGTTAGTACAATAATATACCCCAAGCAGAAACAAACTCAGAAGCCTCGGCAGTTAGCAACTGCAGATTCCGAAACTTGGGGAGCAGCCACATTTTACCAAAGTAGAGAGTCTGGACGGCAAAAACTGAGTTTTCAAGGCTCACCATTCTTCCTACACCGTAATCTGACAAGGGCCCAAAGTAGTTTGGCAATGCAAATACGAAGTGAGCACATGGGGCTTAATTCGTATTTACACAGAAGAAAAGTACCCGGAGTATCAAGTCCAGGTTTTCCATGCGGCTACCAATCACAGAACCCCAAGCATATGATTATGTCCTGCCCCCGATGGTTAAATGGTAGAGCTGAAATCTGGAGACAAGCCAAAGATCGATCCTATGAAGCGATGATAAAAAATCCTGGAGATATAAAAGGATAACACAGTGGATCCTAAACTATGGTTGGATAGTGCAATTCCAGATGACAAAAGCGGTCGAAATACTGCTGAGGGAAAGGAAAAGGTCAAATAATGCTTGGGGAGGATAAAGATGATCTGGTTAGTTTACATGGATGTCACTATAGTGTAACTGCGCTTCCTGAAGAAAATTTGTGAGAACTATAGACAACAAATAGAAAGATGAGGGAGGTTTTCACCATAAAGGTTTCCTCCCGGGTAAATATTATAGATTGTAGACACCTGCATGGGCCCATAGGGCGCCAAATCAGGATAATGAAATCAAATTCAAATAATATACGCAATAAGATTTAGGCATTTACCAGTAGCACAGTTTTCTAACCATATCTCCCTTCATTAATCTATTTCCCTAACGATATATTTTTTTATGAAGAGAACACTACAGTGGGACTGGGAGAACGAAGGCTGAACATCTGTACGTGGTGTCCTCCACGAACCTGGGTGAGAAATATTCTCCCAATGCCAAGTTCAGTCAAATTTCGCAATACTGAATAAGCTGGCCCTCGGGGCAATGATTCAAGATATTCCATGTCAATCTTTCACAACCAACTACATCAGGTCCAACCTAAAATTTATCAAGGTTACAAATACGACTTAATGCTTTGCCAAAGCAGCATCATGTCTTTCTCCTGAAAGGGAAGAGACAAGCTTTGCAATGGCAGGGACACTCATTCACCATAGCTTTCAGAATCAATGGCTCAATTATCTGAAAAATAAGCAAAAACAATTAAAATTTAGCCATTCATCCTATGAGAAGAAATTTGACTAGAAGGTTAATTGCAAAATAAAAATACCATCAGGTACAGCAAGAGAAGTAGTGAGTGCATTCTACCAGCTCAAAATTGGACATGGCCACAATATGTCATACTTGTACAAGCGAGGACTTGGTAATAGTGACAGGTGCAAATGTGGGAAGAGAGAAACACCTGAGCATCTATTACTCAGCTGCAGCAACTACAGGCACGAACGGAGGCAGCTGAAAAATAGTCTTAATAACAACCAATTAAGTATGAAGCTCTTGCTACACACCAAAATTGGAATAGAAAATACCATTGAATATATCAAAAAGACTAAAGTATCTACAAGAAGATGGCATCTTCAAAGGAATGAGAATTGAAGGGATGGATAGGAAGGGAGAATCCAGCAAGGGTGAGAATACTCTGGTTAAGGGCACGTACAAAATAGGGCATGACCCTCATCGTCTATTGGCAAAATTTAAACACAGCAATATACAACATTCCTATTAATTTTAAAGCTATTTAGATAGTTTTAGCTGTCCTTCATAGTCATAGACCCAGTAAGGACATAAATAAAATTCTATTCTATTCTATTCTACGACTTAATGCTTCCTCGTTTCAATGACCACACCTCTCTTCGACCTTCACTGGCCTCGGCTGATCACCAAGTACACGCCAACGCCGATATTTACACCCGACGGAGGAAGCAAAGCGTGGCACACAAACCTGGGAGACATTTCTTTGGGATAGACATGAGAGAGATGAGGACAAGTTTACAAGATGATGCAACAGAAGGATACGCCGGCAAAGACGAATTCTTCACCTTCCAGTGGTGCCGGTGTAATCGCTCAGTATGCTCTGCATATCTGAGATGGCCAAGAAGGATCGCAACCGAATCGAAGTCGAAAGCAAACACAAGCATATCTCCATTTGACGACTTCTCAATCATGCAGCACTTACTGTTATCTTCTGAGTCCTCAACCTCTTTCTAACCACACATCATCTCGCCTCGACGACCGATAAGGGCGTCACCCCAATTGCAAACAGGAGCTTGCCTCAATCATTGCCGGCCATCACTCACTCTAAATTTACGACGCTATTTATACCCGCAAGGAGGAATTTAAGTCATAATATACCGAGTCGTAGTTTCAGTTGGTGGGGGACTGATGCCCTTGTGCGGTTATACATCTTGAGGAAAGACAGGCGGCTGAGAAATAGAACGAGAGGGGAACAGGCCTTTGAAGTCTATGCTGGGACTGACATCTTCGAGGGGTTTTAACTTCGGATTTTTTGTGGGCGCCAAGACCAAGATTTCGGCTAATTTGCCAGGAGGGCTTCTATTGTCGATGAGTCAACGGCACTCCCCAGTGCTTTGGACGGCACAAAAGAAGTTGGGCTAAGCTACCATACAGCAATCACGCTCTGTCAAGACTTTTCTAACATTTTAGCACGACCTTCGGGAAGGAGTTGGAAGGAGGCTAGAAAGGCAGAGTGTGAATTTCCCGAGGTACCCACAAGTCTGCAGCGCCCAGCTAGCCGGCCTCTTCGAACGCATCAGAAGGATCACTATGTCTTCGGATTTGTTCCTAATGTCGGTATTAGAAGAGCCCCGCACCCAGTGATTTTTGCAATTTTTCCCGGCTGTCATACACCCGCAAATGGCCATCGTTTCTTTGGCTGGAGAGGGGAGATAATGAAGGGCAAAGGGCTCCTCTAAGTGTATGATCGAATGAGGACTTCTGAGGGGCGGTACTGTTTGAGGGGAGCTGTATGGGAGCCAAAGGAGGGGATATACTACTGGTATAGGTATCCTTGGCCTGTGGGCAGAGAGGACCAGCACGTCCTACATAGTCATAGACTCAGACGGGACAATAAAATGAATTAAAAAAATTGTATTTGGTATGAGCAGATCGATACCCGTAAGGTTTAGATTAGGGCAGATTAAGGGGTATATACATGAGTGACTTCTACTCACAGGGTGTCCTGCTGAATTTAAAGATGACGCTTGAAGTCAAATGTTACTCCGAAGTATGCCTTAACTAAAGTCCTAGATTCGTCAAGCCGCAAGATTTTGTACGCATCATCAATTGCGACAATAGTTACAAACCTCAAAGGCACAAAATTAGCCGCGCCATTTTTAATATTAATATCATTTTTCTCTTAAACTTGTGACCTAATATGGCCCACATTGGTGAGATTTTATTGCAGCTACTGGACTTAATAATAATTATATGAATTCTTTGTCCTATCACTACAGTTTGTAACACTGCTGCAGGTCATTATAGGCTGCAACATATTCAAATGCTCTTCATGTAGTCAAAATGCATGTCAAGAATTGGTGAAAAATTATTATGCCTAAAAGCTTAACATTTCCGTTAAGACATTAAATTATTTAATTCCTGATCTTAAGATCTATTTAAATTTAATACCTGTCGAATAGTTATAATTTTAGAATGATAGACACCAAAGAAAATTAGCCATAGCTTTAAGCTAATTTACTTTTTTATATAAATTGACAAGTTTCAAGCAATAGGTTTTACATTGTATCTGCTTTTTATCGGATAGATCGCCACAATTGCAGTTGTATCAGCCCCTTTATTCTAGATCACACCATATTGATTGGCTAGGGGTATAGTCGTGTTATTATGCTTTTACTTCACAAGGAATTTTACAACGTTGCATACTCAGGAAGATATTTACCGAGTGAGCTCGTTGGATAGCATTTCTGTAGCGTTGTTTTTGTTCTGGCTTGCCAGACACGAGACCATTTGTTGAGGCTTAGGCTTCACGAGTTATGTTAAATTCATCGAAGTCCTGTCCATCATATCGAGAGTCCAAGTCCAATGATGGAGGAGATGAAGATTTTTGTGAGAGATGATCCTGACTCAGTTAAATTTTTAATGATCGGATTACTCGGTAAAAGGCCCCTTACTCACTGCTACAGAATCTGAAGGTACTACTTTCCCGGAAGGATTAACTGTCCATCCATCTGGCAGCCCATTAACATGGGTGGTAGCCTGAGATATTGCTGATGTTGTGGTTGTGGCAACCCATGGCCATTCGGTCATGGTCGATGTAGAATTGTGATCTTTCCCCAATCCTTGTGGAATTGAAGGTGGTGCAGAAGTTACTGACGGCATGTCTGCCGATGCAACACGACCTCCTGCTCCCGCAGAATTTCCATAAACTTTTCCACCGTCTGCAACGATTGATTCCCAATTTCCACTAGAATCACCGTACTTGTATTGAGTCCCCGTTGAGTAGTCTGTTACTGAAATAGACTTTACGCTCATAGTGAACGGGGCTTTCGAATAATCAGTTGGACCTCGTGCCCAATCAATCGTCCCTGCCGAGTTACTGGGATCACCCGCTGACCAAACACCAAACTTGACTTGCATTGGTGTCTGTGGGTACTGATTTTTCTGCGCTGTATCTGGCGTCAGAACTCGAGCAACCCTACCGCCAACAGCCCAGGTTATTTGATTAGGTGTCCACTCTATTGTGTAAGTGAGAAATTCATCTTGGTTATTTGCTGTGGGATTGATAGCCCCACGATTATACGTTCCCGTATTCCCTTTTCCGAAGTAGTTTGTTTGCATTTGCGAGTCGTCTGCTCCAAGCAACTCAATATCAATCTCGTCTAAATCATCGGACTGAAGGACGATCGAGCTTACAATGCCTGCCCCTGGGGCAGATTTCAGATTGATTGAAACTTTCCCGAACATAATGTAAAATTTACTCGTTAGCTGAGGTGCATCTCCTGAATTTGCAACTGAAAAGTGAACTCCATCTGTGTCATAAGTGGGACTCGAAGATGCAACAAAGGCATCTCCTGGGCCATTGGAAAAGTTAACATTTATTGTTTTACCAAGAGCCGGGTCTGGAGGACAATTAGTTGCATGGAGGGGATTGCACGCGCTGAATGTTTGAGCTAAAGCGCAGGATAACAGGAGTATCGTGGCTACCAAAAAGGACTGTTGGAGCATATTTTTGATGGATGCGAGGTATGTTAACTACCGACTCACGACAAGCAGATTGATTGAAAGACCTATCGTTCGCAGTTGATTTTCTCTCTGCCCGTGGTAAATACAATGAGCCTAAATGGGCGAGATGCAGCAGAGAATATTTATAAAGAAGTCCATGTCCTAGATCCGGCGGTAGAGATCCTTAGTAATTCTTCCAGAGACGACTACAGGCTTAGGTTAAGTCATCCTATACCTGCCACCCATTTCTGCAGTATGCGATAGGTCTTGAGGCACCAAAGCTGTTCCATTCATTTAATTTTTTCATGAAGATCTTCGAGTGGCTGGGGGGCAGGAAAGCACTGGTGATGGATAAGGTTAGGACATTGAAGATCATTGAGAAGAAGAGAGGTTAGGGCATAGCTGACGGGCAGTGAAAGGAGAAACACGCTTGCTCAAGTATAAATTGCGACTGCAGCACAAGATCGATGGAAAGATAAGAAAAGCAAGTGTCGGGCGACTTGAACACACAATTGATTTCCATCAAGAGATTGAAATTGATCACTGCCAAGGGAGGGGCTCGTGGATAGGAGGCCCGAATATTTTGGCTAGCAGAGATCGTATGATTGGTTGAAAACACGGATTGGCTTCAGTTCCTAGCTCCTAATTATAATTCGCACGCTTTGGCATGCTCCGCTTCCTATCGCAACGCATCCAATAAATGCCTAATCATTCTGTCAAACGCCGAGATGTCGGCTTGCAGGCCCATTGTAAGGAATGATTATATACTAGGAGGAATAACAGTCGGCATCAATTTGTTTACCAAAACTTTAGGACTCTAAATGTTAATGAACTCGACTTTGCCAGTCAGGTTCATACAGTGTACGCTGCAAAGGTATCGGTGTAATCTCTTCATCGGATAACCTCGAGTCTTTCCCTCTTGTAATCCCACTGCGCTCGGTTTCTGCATGCTCGGAGTGGGATTATTGTCCTCCACTTGTCCAGTTCAGCAATATCTGATGGCTAGGGATCTTTTGGTCCCACTCGGCAGATGCTTTGAGTTTCTGTCAGACCGCAGCACGGCCGTTCATGGCACAGCCCTTCGTGCCTCGATCCGACTTCATGTTTGATACTAATCACACACACGCAGAATCAGAGGCAAAGGAGCGAGTTGCGGCCGGGTGTAATTCCGATCGAATCCCTCGCCACCATGAAGTATCATGGTCTTGCCTTGCCGTTCCCGAGTCCCACTCTCACTACCATCTAGCCCCTAACCGCCTTTCTATACCCTCCAAGTGTTATCTTCATCCCACGTTGACCGTGAACCATTTTTTCTATCTGCTTCATCGTCAGCCTCATATGGCAGAATCCTTGCTGAATTTGTCGGTCAACGATGACCAGAAAAGATCTTGCCACTCGTAACAGCTCTGCGACCAGCTCGGCCCCCGATGGAGGGAGAACAAGAGATATCCTAAATCTCTCAGCCTCGTGGACCATTTGCCCAATACAACAGGGCAAACGTGTGTGTGTCAATACAAGTCAAAATAAACTGTGAGCTACAATTTCCTTGTTGCTGTTGTTGTCATCTGTGGAAATTGCGTATTTTCGACGTTTCAGGCAATGAACTTTGAGCGAGCTCTTTGACTAACGGATGCTTACCTTTGCGTTTGTCTCAGGCTCGCGACCAAAACCCAGGTCTACTGTAAAGAGCACCAACCTGTCTTTTCACCGACTCCTTTCAATGCATACCTCCGAGAGCGAGAACATAGTTCGTCCATTTTGGGCAACTGCAGTCGAAACTTTGCAGCCTTGGAGACTGGCAAGAAAGAGTGTCTTCCGCCGAGTCAACACAACATATCAACGCCTACAGCAGCATCATTACATCACTTCGAAGCGACCTGGATGGCATCAACCCGTGGTCCGCTAACGCTGCCTGGTAGCGCAAGCTTCGGTACAAGTTTTTTCAGCGACGCGAACGATCAAAAACCCGAAAATTCACCACTGTCACCGGGGCCTAGATTATCTACAGGACTATCAGCAACCTCAGCTGTGGGCGATCTAACTGGAGAGACTTACTTTGGAGAGGAAAGAAGACCATCTATTGCAAGTGTTCATACAGCTAGTAGCCAAAGTTCTATATCAAGTGTTGGTCGACCAGGGATTCATAAAAAACTGCAAACTTTTTTCGGCGATGATTTTCCCGGAAGAAATAGAGCAGACTCTAGCCTTCCCTCGCACAGAAACGAAGGACGGTCACAGTCTTTCGTGCGTAAGCAACGCGATCGTGCGACCTCCTCTGGCGCAGAAACTACTCGAAAACGTGAAGCATCGCCTGCAGATTCGCGGCCCAGGACACCTGTACCTTCCCGTGATGTTGTCCCATTTCTCTACCAAGACTCACAGGCAAGTTTGGCATTACTAGCGCGATCTTTGGACTTTAGATAAATGATATATACTCCTGCTTATTTACATCTCACATTTCACATAAAATAGCTGGATTGAGATTTGAAACTAATCCATTTTAACAGGATATATCAAAATACGGCGAAGCTCCAGTTCGAGATAAACTTTCTGGCCTAGATAGAGATCGTTACGCTGGAGATAGTGTGATTACATCCAAGCTATCCTCATCTTTCACTGGACAGTCGCATGTAGTATCATCGGGCCGATTTACTAAAGGCCCAGAAGATCTAAGGCCATCTCATCCGAGCCTGGTCCGAGAAGAATTCGGCAGTGCGTCCAGGTCCCGAGATCGTGCTCCAAAAGCTATGGGAACAGCGCTGGGGAGTAGCTCCAACTCAGGCCAGGCAAAAAGATCTGTCAGCCCAACCATAATCGCTGCTGTAATTAAAAATTCTACTAAAAACAACATCAATAATAATAGCAACAGTAATCTGGGCAGTCATGACGGCTCCACTTCACCGACCCTTCCTTCCAAAAGGGGTATATTGGGTAGGTTCCTTAAGCACAAAGAAAAAGATAGTGTTCCTTTACGCCTTAAAGAAGTCCCAAGCACATCCCGATCATTCAGCTCGCCTGGGTCGAGAAATGATAACACAAGGGGACCAACATCACCTGAAACTGCCATAAGCTCATGGAGTCGAGAAGGGAGTATTACAGGGCTTGATCCTAGTTCATCAAAGGCCGAAACTGGCCGCCCTAACAATGGATCATATCGTCAAGGTGCTTTTAGTAAATTACAGCTGCGCAAGGGGAAGTTAAAGATAACTGATGAACAAGATTCGCTTCCGGAAAGCACGGAAAACAATGATACACTATCAGGGCTCATGTTTAGTCTGGATACAAACCTTAACAATATGGAAGGTATCTTAGCTAAACCACCTCCACTAACACCGCTAGATAATAGTCTTTTTAATAGCCTGGAAGATGAAGCTAAGGACGAGGCTGAAAATATCGGTAGTCTAGGATGGAATGCACCTGACAGCTGGGCTGTGAAAAAAAGTAACGATGATACTATGTCTAGATTATCAGACATCAATGAGGCATACGTCCCTCCAATGGAAGATGAAAAGTCTAACCCATACTGTATCCGCATTTTTAGACTAGATGGAACTTTTGCTACTCTATCCACACCGTTGAACGCGACGGTAGCCGAACTTATGGGCCAGTTGGGAAGGAAAACGTATATGACGGATTCGTTGGCCAACTATCAAATAGTCATGAAAAAGCATGACCTTCAACGTATACTTGGCCCGGGTGAGAGACCAGTCGTCATTCAGAAGCGCCTATTAGAGCAAGCAGGATACGAGGAACGTGATCGTATTGAAGATGTCGGCAGAGAGGATAATAGTTATCTATGTCGGTTCTCTTTCATTCCAGCTCGAGAAAGTGGTTACGCATCTTTTGCTACTGACCCATTAGCGGGTCGGGTGCAAAAATACAGTCACATAGATCTTTCAAGGCGGAATCTTGTCACTATACCTATTGCGCTCTACTCAAAAGCTTCTGAAATTATATCGCTCAATTTATCCCGCAATCTTTCTCTTGATCTACCCAAAGATTTCATACAATCATGCCAAAATTTACGGGATATTAAATTCACGAATAACGAAGCTTGGAAACTTCCTCTAAGTTTAAGTCATGGAACTAGGCTTTCAATACTTGATGTATCAAATAATAGACTGGAACAGCTTGAAAGGTCTGAACTTGACAGGTTGCAAAATTTAGCTAGTTTAAAGCTAGCTAATAATCGACTTGGTAGCCTTCCATCTTATTTTGGTAACTTCAAGCTACTGCGAACTCTGAACGTATCATCAAATTTTCTGGAATCCTTTCCTACGTTTTTATGTGATCTAGAGAGCCTTGTTGATATTGACATGAGCTTCAATGGAATTTCTAGCCTTCCTGATGAGATTGGTCAATTAACAAACCTCGAAAGATTTATCATTACTAACAATCGTCTAAATGGTTCACTTCCGCTTACTTTTGGCGATCTAGTAAATCTAAAAGAAGTTGATATCCGATATAACGCCCTCTCAAGCATTGATGTTATCGCAAGACTCCCTAAAGTCGAGCAGATATCCGCAGATCATAATTCTGTTTCAGTTTGTGAATCTGAATTCACAAAAATCAGAATACTTCGACTTAACTCGAATCCTGTCACCAAGTTCGAAATACTTAATTCAGTCCCTACACTTAAGACACTCAATTTATCTAACGCAAAACTAGCACATGTTCCTGATGCTATATTTGACAGAATGCCGAATCTGGTTAAACTTATTCTTGACATAAATCATTTTGTGTCTCTTCCAATGCATATCGGAAAATTACGAAAATTAGAGCATTTTAGTATTGCCAGAAATGCATTGAATAGCTTACCTCAAGAGATTGGCTGTATGACAGAACTACGGTTCCTTGATGTCCGGCAAAATAATCTAAAGAAACTTCCAATAGAATTATGGTACGCAAGCAAACTGGAGACACTCAATGTGTCATCAAATGTTCTTGATAGTTTTCCGATGCCTGCATCTCGTCCTCCACAAATTCCAGGTGAAATATTTCCAATGGTTCCCCAAAATACTTCAAACGGTAGTCTAGGCCCAAACTCAACTGCATCCAGTTTTGAAGAAATTGGTGCACTCGAGGCTTTCGGACAAAGAAGATCTAGTCAAGCTTCTTATTCGCTTCTTGGTGTCGGTGGATCTCCAGGTTCCGGAGTTACTGAGAGAAAAACCTCGGTGGTCTCTTCCTACTCAAAAGGCGGCCGACAAACTTCCATAGTAACAAGAAATGGGTCAGAAATGACGGCTGGAAGCATAACTCCACTCCGGAAAGATTCTGGAATATCAACACGCCTAATCAGTACTTTTTCTAGATCCTTAAAAAATCTCTATCTGGCTGACAACCAGCTTGATGATGACGTATTCGATAAGCTCATACTTCTTGGAGAACTTCGCATTTTAAACTTGTCATACAATGACCTTAACGATATACCACATCGCTCAATCAAAAGCTGGCCTCAGTTATCTGAACTTTATCTTTCTGGAAATGAACTCACCTCACTCCCATCTGATGATTTTGAAGAGTTTAGCCTGCTACAAGTTCTTCATATAAACGGTAACAAATTTCAAACCCTTCCAGCCGAGTTAGGTAAAGCTCACCGACTAGCTGTTCTTGACTGCGGTAGTAACTCTCTAAAGTATAACGTTTCTAACTGGCCTTATGACTGGAATTGGAATTGGAATACTAATCTAAAATACTTAAATCTTTCAGGTAACAAACGATTAGAGATCAAACCTTCTGCTCCAGGGGGTGCAGGAAACCGAGATGGTCGTGATCTGACAAATTTTAATGCCTTACAGAATCTACGAATTCTCGGCTTAATGGACGTAACACTGACCATATCTTCGATCCCGGATCAGACTGAAGATCGGAGAGTCAGAACCTCAGGTTCCGTTGCTGGTCACCTATCTTATGGCATGGCTGATACTTTGGGTAAAAATGATCACTTATCGATTATTGATATGGTTGTTCCTCGGTTCAATTCTTCTGAAGCAGAAACTTTGATGGGAATGTTTGACGGTCAGGCCCTGTCAGGTAGTGGGTCTAAAATTGCAAGGTATCTTCACGAAAACTTTGGCCATATATTTTCTGAAGAGCTTAAGAAATTAAATTCTGAGTTGGGAGAGACGCCGGCAGATGCATTACGCCGGGCGTTTTTGTCTCTAAATAAGGATTTGGCGATTGCCGCTACTCAGTGTGCAGAAGAACGTCCATTGTTGTCACATCGTAGTACTACAGCTTCTACGGCTCTTAGTCATACTGACCTTCAATCTGGTGGTGTGGCTACAGTTGTATTTTTGCAGAATTCAGAACTCTACGTTGCAAACGTTGGCGACGCTCAGGCTATGCTAATCCACTCTGAAGGTGGTCATCGCATACTAACAAGGAAGCATGATCCTGCTGAGCCAAATGAGCGCCAACGTATTCGTGATGCCGGGGGCTGGGTCTCTCGTCAGGGCAAGCTCAATGATATACTTGAAGTTTCTCGAGCTTTTGGATACGTTCAAATCATGCCTGCTGTTCAAGCTGCACCACATATCACACAAGTTACCGTGAAGGAGCAAGATGAAATGATTCTAATAGCCTCTAGGGAGCTTTGGGAATATTTATCACCCGAACTTGTTGTTGATGTTGCAAGGTATGAGCGCGGTGACTTGATGCGTGCATCACAGAGGCTACGCGATCTTGCTATCGCATTTGGGGCCACTAACAAATTAATGGTAATGATGATTGGTGTTAGTGACCTCAAAAAACGAGCACAAATTCGCCCTCACCGAGTACAAAGCTTACTTTTTAATCCTGGAACGATTATAGACGAAACCTACGCACCGACTAGACGACCCAGGAAAAAAGGAGAAACTGTTGAAGATTCCGGACTTCGTCGCTTGCAGGCCGAGGTTGATGCTCCGGTTGGAGATGTTAGTATTGCATTTACAGATATTAAAAGTTCGACATTACTTTGGGAGACATATCCAAGTGCAATGCGTTCTGCTATTAAACTGCATAACGAAGTAATGCGTCGTCAATTACGCATAATCGGAGGATATGAAGTAAAAACAGAAGGGGACGCATTCATGGTTTCTTTCCCTACAGCGACCTCGGCACTTTTATGGTGCTTCGCCGTTCAACAAGCCCTACTAGAAGTACAATGGCCTTCTGAAGTTCTTTCTAGCGTCCTTGGTCAAGAAGTTTATGATAACGATCAAACCTTAATTTTTAAAGGTCTCAGTGTCAGAATGGGAGTGCATTGGGGTCATCCTGTTTGTGAAACTGATCCTGTTACTCGTCGTATGGATTACTTTGGGCCTATGGTAAACCGAGCAGCTCGAATATCTGCTGTCGCAGATGGTGGGCAGATAACTGTATCCGCAGATTTTATCTCCGAAATTCAACGCTGTCTCGAAACTTACAGCGAAAGCGCTCGTTCTGACTCTATTGGCTCTGAGGAAGCATTTGAAAGTGATATTTATCGTCAGGCTATTCGCCGTGAGCTCCGGTCCTTAAGTAGCCAAGGATTTGAAGTCAAAGATATGGGCGAACGAAAGCTAAAAGGTCTCGAAAATCCAGAATATATCTATTTAATGTATCCTCATGCTCTTTCTGGTCGGATTCATTACCAGCAGAGGTTGGCAGAAGGTGACAAACTCGTTGCGGTAGAGGGACCAGCAAGATTTTCAGACACAACGCAATTAAATATCGACATCGACTCTTTATGGGGATTATGGCACGTGAGCCTGAGACTTGAAATGTTATGTTCAAGCTTAGAAGTAGACAATGGCATCGGTATGCCACTTCAGGCACCTGAGACGACTATTCTAGAAAAGATTAGGAGTCGGGGTGGAGAGATTACTGATCGGGTCTTGATTAATTCCTTGGCTCATCAAGTGACAAGAATTGAAGTAAGTATCCCTATTTTTTTCTAGCTTATATTCTCTAATATCACACCAGTCATGCATATCTTCGCTGGTAACACGACACATAGCAGTCGGTCAATGCCCACTCTACAATTTTGACCAGCTCCGAGCTCCAATGACTGAAGTTCTTGGGTCGATAGCAGTTCAGCTAAGGGAGCTTCGAATTCTGAAGGCAGAGTATATTGATCAAGACTTTTCAAACTTGTCAAAACGACGCACATAATTTTATTTAATACACTCAGGAAGGAGAGGTGGTCCAGATTTGAGAAATTGGGCTGGTCAAGTGGTAATGTTATGGGCGACAGTAAATAGTGGGTAGATTCTAGGGTGTTGGGAGTCCTACAGGTAATGAAAAGGGCGTTTTCGGGTTGGAGATGATTAGAATGTACAGAACTTGAGTTTTTCAAGAATGAGTCAAGAGCTAGTGTCCTAATAAACAATTTTGTCCGGATAGATTTACGTGCCATATGGATATATCAAGTAGCATGTAAGTTAATCCATTTATACAGAATGGGGGACTATTCTCAACACCTGCTAGTGGTGTCCCCTACGAACCTCCAGCTCTCACTGTAGAGTCTGCAGAGCCGAGATTGAGTAACAAAGTTCTCATTTAGACGAGGATTCCCAATAGCTTTCGCCGCCTGTATCGTCTTCATCTCTCAACGCATTCCCCTATGACCATTATCATGAAGCTAACCACGATCAGATCAGATGGTGGGGTCGGAGCCCTACTCATCACCAACCCTAGATCATAGAGGGAAAGCCAACCGATGGGTTTCCGGAGCGTACCCAGCACCCGATACGGAGATGGTGGATAGGATCAAGTCGACCTCGACTGTTACAAAGAAGGGAGATTTAGATGAATATGCGCACCTCATGTGGTCCCCGGTGTCTAGGCCTCGCCTGGCCGGGACTGCAGGTTTTTTGAGACTTTTTCCCGCGCACGCAGTTTCCATTGCTACCATTTTTATTTTTTTTGGATAGAAGGTTCCGTGGAAAAGGTGGCCGAATTCCACGGGTAGATACTGAGCTGAATGGCTATTCATCAAGGGGAATATATCAATGATCTTTCAAGTAACAAAAGAGGCTAGAAGCACTGTACAAGGTGTGGCCTGGGTCAGAGAGGTGTCCAATGTGCTAGGTAGTCTATGACTCAATAGTACAATAAATACGACAACACTTGAGAAGGATCCGTATGATCACCTGTCCTTGTGTTGATCGAAATAGTTTTATTAGAAAATCACAGGCTACGAACTATCTGTTAGTAAGCCGACAAACTTGAGCTCGACGAGAACTTGCGTGGTAGTCTCGCTCTATTCAGCTTTGGAGCCAGTCTTAAATTCAAATCTAGGGACGTTGACCTATTAAAGGGAGTTAATAGACAAAATCCTTGGATGGGCCTGACGAAAATATCAAACTGCATAGTTCAGAAGGTCATCACTATGGCTTTAGATATCTAGATGCAAGAGTGGTCAAACTGTATTTTTCCTCTCAGTTACCAGTAATAGCGAAGGTGGCCCACATTATCCAGCAAAAAGGTCTTTGGATTTTACTCTTTCATATTCCTTATTCGATCGCCCTCCAATTTTACAACATGGGTATCTTACTCCTCTGCCTTCTAAACAAACCCCTTACAAAAAGATCTCTAAAAACAAACAAACAAAATTTTCATCCTGCTTTCGTGGCATCTATGGAAAATAATCGAGGAATGATAATACAAATATAATACAAATTTTGTGTAGAAAGTAAAATAAATACATTGTCTGGGGATATTAGGTGTGAACAAGTTTCTTTGTGTGAAGTGCCTTGGATGTGAAATAGCAAGGGATCTATGCGTCCCTAAGTGTAGTACGGGGGTGATGACCACGATATTACAGGCTTTGAGCAATAGCTCGTAAAGTACTACTTGAGTTAAAAAGCAAGCAAAAATTAGCAAGAGCCCATCACCATAAACGCCTAACCAGCCCTATCGGTTCAGAACTCCGAGATTTGATTACAGTAATGCTGCTTGTTTTTCAACTGCTTTCCGGCCTCCTTGACCTAGTGAGCCGAAGAGTTTATCCGGAGGTACTCTAGTTGTCATACTGTTCCCGCGGTCGATACCAGAAGTTGGGGCCGGTGTGTAGCCTTCTCGTTTTTTTCGTATTCTTTCGACACAGATACCTCCAACAACGACTACCATAATTAGAGCAAGGGCAATGCCGAGCGCAATAAGAATAACAAATCCTTTGGCGAGTTTGGCATCTATAATGATCAGTTGGAACAGCAAAGTTAAATCGCAGACAACATACTTGAATTGTGGAAAAAATTAGCTTTCTCAGCGAAGAATTGCGACAGACTACCTTCGGCTTGTCCAGCTGAACTCGTAATAATGTAAGGATGAAATTCAATGCCGTTAAATAACGCGGCAGATGCTCGTCCAAACCCCTCAATATTTATTGATCCTGTAACGAGTAAAGCTGAGTCGGCAGGGACGAGCTTGGATGGAGCATGATTACTAATCAGCTTTAGTACCTGAAGTCCCTTTATGCGAGTATTTGGACCCAACATATTGCCAACCGAAGCCCAAGAATTACCATCAAACTTCATCAAAAATGCTGTTCCATTTAGGGCTAAGCCTGATACCCATATTTGAGAACTATCACTATCAGCTTTGGTAATAGAGTCAACTGGACCAGGAATCATTTCAGAATGAGCGAATATAGTCCAGTTCAGTGACTTCGTGTTGAAAGTTACTAATGAAGCACTTTGTCCGTTTATCTTTAAATTTCCACCAACAATAAGAGAAGTAGAAGAATTAGCCCAAATCATTGAGTTAGCAATTCCATCCAGTCCAATACCAGGCCGGTTCCATTGGGAGAATTTAGAGGAGAAATGGCATACGGCCGGACAGCTTAGTGAACCGGCGAAAGAGAAATTTCCTCCCACAAATATATCTGTCTTTGCTTTGCTGTTAATAATTGTATTGACATTACCATCAAGTTCGGGTGGTTGGGTATTAAAAGAAGCATTGGGAATATTGTAAGAGATCAATCCTCTAATATTTGCGCCATTAACATTTCCTGCAAGAGATCCACCGGCAAATAGGTTGTCTTCTAATATGGACATCGCAAGGATTGTCGAGTCGTTAGAAAGGGAAGGGCCAACTCCAGTGACAATATCATCATTTGCTCCATCAATAAATGCCAAGTTATTGACATCAAGACCATCATATCCTTTTGCAGTGAAATGACCTCCAAGAACAGTGATATTGTGAGAACCACGGACAAAAAATAGCCCAGTCACAATCCCTGTTTTTGATTGGCTGGATACTTGTCCTGGGATAATCTTGGGGCTCTGAAATACGGAGGGCTGTATTCGGATAGGAAATGGCCTCAGTGCGTTGCCAGCCGCATTGATCTGAGCTATATCAATGGCACTTAGTTGGGACGACAATATAGACCCGGCATATAGCGACGCCCCATCGGGTAGATTAAGGGCTGTTGTTATCTCGCCCTCGATTTTCATGCTATTTCCAAAAATATTTTGAAGCCAATTATTGCGCGATGGTACCCATATAGCGAAGCCTTCAGCATAAAAGGATGGATTTTTATCAAATTCTAGGACTTTGTCAAAGTGACCCGTTAGTGCGATCATAGTCTCTGGCTTTTCATTGGTAATATTCATCAAAATAGGCACAATACTTAATAAAGGTCCATTTACACCAGCACCGAGTGGACTCCAACGATCATTTTTAATATTATAAGCAGCAACGTTGAAAAGTCCGAGGAGGCTACCATCAATCGTGCTGGTGAAGGAACCACCGACATACAAATTATTTTCGTTTATCATCATCGTTTGAACATTTCCATTCAGCCCGTTCCCAGAAATAGCTTCAACCTTAGGACCGGTAACTTTGAAAATGTTGCTGAAATCTTTGTTTGTAAAATTTCCTCCCACGTAGGTTGTATTTCCCGCTGACTGAAGCGTCTTAATTTCGGCACCGGATGAGATATACTTCCCTGCTATTTCAAATGCTGAGTCTTTATGGTTTGAGGCATCAGTTCTTATTTCTTTTGGGTCGTACTCAAAAAGACCGTTTAGACCACCACTCGGGGAGATAAGTGTAAATCCTATTCGTTGTGCAACAAGCGTAATATCACGAGGAGCTTGATTGGAGGATAATGCTATAGTCACCGAAGGACGAAATTTACTGCTGCTTGCTTCAACGTAGCCAAAATAAATTTGATCATATTTATCATGATTGTTCGTTTGAAATATCTCTGTAGAGAATCCTACTCCATTAGATATATCCTGGTTCATTAGACCTGTGATATTGACACGACCTCTAGTTGCGCATGTACTATCCTGTATACATCCAGGAGTATACATATTGACTGAGTAATTACCAGATTGTCGAATACTTGGCGTAAAAGTAACAGAAGAATCTGTATTGCTAGTTAAACTCGTGAGGTATGCTGAGGAGCTTTGCAGGGATGACGATATTGTCCATTGTCCAGTCGTAGTGGCGGTTGATAAGATGTTAGAATTTGTACAGCCTGGTTCATTGAACTCATTAATCGCATACGAATATATATCATTCTGGAAAAGCTCAATGCCAGAGAGTCCGCCACCAATCCCATACCAGGCTGATATGTCAATCTGTATTGCATTCATGCCAATTATGTTGACGAAGTGGAAATCTTGATAGAGCACACTAGCATTCCATGTCAATGAACATTCTGAGGAGCAATAATTATTCTGGTTTGTCATTGGATCAATGTAAGAGAGATTCATGATGCCATTGATAGGAAAGGCTGTGAAGCGAAACGTCTTAGTACCACGACCACTTTGTCGGATATTCCAGAGTCTCAGCTTGGTAGGCTGGAAACTAAAGCCAAAATCGGCTCTCCAAAACCCTGGCGTGTTGTCAGCGAGCAGCCACGGGTTCTCTATATTGCCTGTTCCGTTGGATTTACAAAGAATTCTAGAAGGGTCGTTAGAGGGAGTTAATGATTCAGGCGAACTAGATTTGATTTTTGCATCCTTAATATTAACAAGCTGCTGGTCTGGCATTTCTGGTTCAGTAGCATTTCCAAGGCCCGTGAAGGAGCCACCAAATATTATATTTCCGTTTGATGCTTTTGAAATTGTAGTAACAGGTCCATTAAAGCCTCCAAAAGGTAAGCTTTTCCATCCATTCTTGGAGCTCCAGGCTATGGCGTTTGTAGAATTTTCAACCTTGAAGTTCCCTCCTATGTAAACTGTTTCTGCTTCCTGGTCGCACAATAATGCTGATACTTGACCAGATAGGCCAGGAAGAGGTATAATTGTTGAAGTACTTGGATCGTAAGATGCGATTCCAGGGGATTCTAATCCCGCTAAATCTGTGAAATTACCGCCTATTACTATACCAGTCTTCTCACTATTTTTCAATCTGGATGTACACATTGCAAGTATATTCGCGTCAGAGGATGCTACATTCATGAATCCACCATCAGGTAGTCGACTGTATAGAGATTGACTTCCGTTTTTTGGTATCTCGCGAGGCCTATATTCTTCATCTTTGTATACCGATATACCATCAAAATTTCCAACGAGCGCTGTACGGCCTAGATCATCTAACTTTATATTTGGTGGTGGAGTTGATTTAGAGGTGGAGACAGTTACAATTTGCAAAGTGAGAAGAAAATAAATTCCAATAGCTAAGATAGGTGCGCAGTTTGGGGCCGAAGAAATCATGGAATGAAGTGTCATCATCGCTTTATATTGTTCTATAGGGTTGACTGGAATGCCTTCGAAATGTTGCGCGTGATTGTTCTAGTCTTAATTCTAAGAACACAATTTGATATCTAGGTATTATTTGTGGGGCAGTCGAGTTTTTATTGTCTTCTTTATTCCATTCTTAGTGTTCAGATGTCAAGAGAAAGGTTGTAGCATCCAGGAATCAAAAATGAAACTAATGGATCAACCTGTGGAGGGGCCGAATTCTCCTGAATTGGTCTCCGGTCTAAAACGCACTTAGGAAGGTAGCACGAGCCCTTTTACGGGCCCGAAGAGTTTTGAGACTGAATGACTGCGATAGAAGGAATCGAGATCTAATTATTGGTGCTTGAGTTTCGAATGAGTGTGTCTTTAGACTTGAAGTTGTGACGTATTACTTCTCGCGCCTTCGGTAAAAGCTGTTTGTTGTCGAAGAACTTTGAGTCGAGGGGTTAATTTTTTTGTGTGGAGCTGTTTAGACATGTCAGTTAACGATGCATTGAAGTTATGGGCCCAAAGTTTCCTAATATTATAATATTCGGGCTGTTATCACTTAGATGGGATGACGGGCGCGGCTATCGGGGTGTCCAGACATGAAGAAAATTTGGATATGGGGAGGCTAGGGTGTGCATCATGGGAAAGTTGGCACGAAGAGTAACTTTGGGAATTCGCGAAACGTACTGACAGGTTATTCTCTCAATTGAAATTCTGGAAAGAGTGTTAAATAAATGAGTGACTGAGTTGAAGTGAAATTCGGGCGGAAAACAAGAAGTGATGACAGGAGTTGATGCGTGTACTTGGGGAGGGGGTAGGATAATTAGGAGAGTGACATTTACGAGTCAAGCATCGTTAGGGCATTAAGCTGGTGTTACGCGGACATGAACCCAACAAGTCTCACCCTCGTTATTTGAATTTACAAATATCGCATAAACATAGCCAACACACTCATCACGACTCGTTGTAATTTTTATGTTTAGTCACGATAACTGATTTGTAGATATATTGTCAATTGAGCACTGATTCATATCCAAGGTTATCTACCTAAAAGATCTTCACAACTTCCTTTTTTAGCATTAATATACTTCGCCTTCGTGCACAGCTAAATTCTCCACCTTTTATTATGATAAACACCTGTAGTCTTTACGCTTGCAGATTTGGGGTGAAGTGAGTAAGATCGTCGTCTACGGAGGTCATTCTTCACAGATCTTCGTTGATTCCTATTCTTCCTTGCCAGGTACATTTTAGAGTTTATTTGTGCATTGCAAACGGATCGGGGACCAATATGCGTCGAGCCCCTCGTGCATGGTTACTACAGGCGATCGGGATAAGAGATCTGAGGCTATTCCACTACATACTTTTATTTTGTTAATTAAATGAGGGTTTGTATATCACAAGGTGTTCTTTGTTGTTCGGGTCCTCAACTTAAAATCTCTTGGACTCTCGAAGTCCTTGGATTTTCCGGCCCATATCCCAATTTTTCTCATTTTGGCTACTTTTTCTGCTTGCCTGTAGCTTTCCTCAAAATTTCCAAACTCGGCACCACTTTTTGCCTCGTACACGGTGGCCAAGCCAGCTTTCAACATTTCCATGCCTACATCACGGCGAAAAAAACCTCGACGCACCCAGACAGTGGCGACTACACGTTCATACTGATCGCGCTTGTAAATGTAGGCACGAACTCTGCGGTTGTAGATATAGCTGTCGAGCCATGCTAGAGCATCTGCCGAGTACGGCTGCGCCGGTTTTCCCCAGTGTGCCGACTCTGGCGCATCAATTCCAGCTATTCGAACGTGTATAGTGTTTCCCTTTAAATCCGCTTTCTTAATGGGTACTGTTCGACCAGGAAACCAGCCCCAGCCAGTCAGTCTCCCACCAGGTGTATGGAAGAGGTGGAAATTGTCTGCATCACCTACTCTGGTCACCGTTCCGAAGATACTCTTTTTCCTGAAGAGCTGAGGTCTGATATGAGTTGCTTCTGGGATACGTCTTATGTACGAGCGATAAAGTCGGATTGACATTAGAGTTGCGGTTGTGAGAATAATGGTGGGAACAATGGTCTTCGGTTCTTTGTACTGGGCCCAGTCGGTGGCGTTAAGGCTGTCCAACCATGAGACAGGACGTCTAGTTTCATCATTTTGTTTCTCAGACCATGGAATCCATGGCATTGTGCTTGAGGGTGGTGCTGTGTGTGTACATTCAATACAAAAAGCGAGCGTGCCAGTCTACTTGTATAATTCTTTTGCTTACATAACTAATGTATTTATTTTTGGCCACTTATCACTAGAGAAACGCGCTACTTTCCGAATGAAAAATATTAGCCAGTCGAATGATGAAGTCAGAGCACACCCATGTGGTGTTTACTACGAATATAGAATGATGTATTCCCATTAGAGACAAGCTAATTCCAATTTTATAATATCGAAGAGGGTGACCCACGAGTTAATGATTCAGTCCTCCATACCGTATCGATATTTCATCGCAAACAAGATCCATGTGTATGTAAGTTTATTGTACTACTTGAGTCTATAACTATCTAACACATTGGGCTCTTCTCTGGCCCAGGTCACTCCTTGTGTAGTGCTCCTATTATTCCTTGATACTTGAAAGATCTTTTATACATTGCTCGTTATAAATATCCATTCAGCTTAGTGTTTTGCCGTGGAATTCGGCCATCTTTTCCACGGAACCTTCTACTCAAAAAAAATAAAAACGGTAGCAATGGAAACTGCGTGCGCGGGAAAAAGTTCTCAAAACCCTGCAGCCCAGCCAGGTGAAACCTAGATACCGCTGCCACAAGAGGTTCGCAATCCAAAAAGTCACTTCTATTCTAATTCCACCTCAGCCAACACGCTCTCGTTCGATTCTGATGATTTATCATCAGTCATCCCTTAACTTTCAGCCAAAAAATCCTCCGTTAGCTCTCACCTTAACAACGAGTATACTTGTGAAAAAAATACTCAAGGTCCTTGCCGTTATATTGAAGTGACTGCCATTATTGACAAATTACAAACTGATCCGCGAATCCATTTGGATCATAATTCGCTATGGCATAATTTTATAGCTCCTCTGGTTTATAAATAAACTTAATGTTCAGAATTAAATCTTGATAGTATGACTGCAAGATGATACCTGTAGCTTTGGCTTTATCAATAGTATACTCCTTCAGACTCTTGTTGAAACCCCTCTTTTATTCAACTTCTTTGGGTGATTGGGGCTCGGAAAATTTGCCTAGTATATGTGGCCATGAGCTCTTGGTTTTATGAAATATTACAATTAAGACAATCCAGATTCGACTGGAGCTTTAGCCTTCAAGTTACTCAATATGCTTAGGCAGATCTTTAACCATAATAATTAATATATTAATTTAGCTAATTGAAAGATTTCAATTTACAGCGATTCTTTTTTGTAGCCTCGAATAAGTGTTATCTTCTTCATGGTCCCTATAGGTTAAATAACCTAATAATTCAATTATAGATACACAGCTGGAGCTATGACTAGTCGATGTATGAGGAATAATAATGTGTGAAATTGCAGCAGTATCTAAAACTTGGGCAGCAGCAAAGTTTTATCAATGCCGCCATTCTGGACATACTAAAATGAGCTTCCGGGAATCACCATTTTCTCTCCACAAAAACCTGACGAGGGTCTAAAGTAGCTTAGCAATACAAATTCCAACGAAACCTGACAAGAGCCCAAAGCAGTCTAGCGATACAAATACGAAGTGAGCACATGGGACTCAACTCGTATTTACACAGAAAAAAGTACCAGGAGTTTATCACCCAAGTTGTCCGTGTGGCTACCAATCATAAAATCTTAAGCACATGATCATGTTATGCCCTAAGTGGTCGATTGGTAAAGGAGAAATCTAGAGACAAGCCCGAAATCGCTCCTTTGAAGCAATGATCAACAATCCAAGCGTTATGAAAAGAATTACACGATGGATTATTAACCATGGTTTGGTAGAACAATTCCGCATGACCCATAAATTTGAAATGCTGCTCAGGGAACGAGATGGAACATGTACAAGGTTGCGGTCGATAGGAGAGACGTGATTGGTACACATCGACGACGTTTCAGTGTAACTGCACTTTTTGCAGGAGAAATTGCAAACTCTAAGAATTTTTTTTTTAATTATAATTTACATCCTATACAAGTCTATGACTATCAGAGGATGTAAGCTCTAGGAATTAAATCAAAAAGCTTGTGGGGTTTTCACCGAGAGGTTTCCTCCTATGTGAATATATAGATAGGTTTATAGCCACCTGCATGGTCCCATAGTGCACCAGATCAGGACAATGAATACAAATCAGAAATGCGTGAAATTGATATACCCAATGATCTTAGAAGAGTAGCGGAGCTACATTTCGGGTAATAACCAAGGATACTTATTGCTATGTAAAGGAGATTACTGTACTACAGCTACGAGCTGCGACTATCTCCCAAGTCAGGTTTAGATAGCTTGGACACATATCCCACTCGAGACAGGAGATCGCTGGTTCGAATGCGGCAAAACACAACTACATTTCTCGCGGTGCTGGTATGCATGGATGACGAAGGCATGGTTGGACAACTAAAGGTTTTGGAACGTCCTCTTCGTGGGTACTTACGGAGGAGGGTCGACTGTTTGTGTAAGCGAGCACACCTCACAGTATTATTTGCTAACGAAATCCAGAGTATGAGTGTCAATGACGTCAAAATAGTCATCCAAAATTTTTACATGGCACTGGTCTTGTTTGTTTTAACCCTTAGGTCCTAGGTTATACTGTTGGAAATACCGCGCACTGAAATGGGCGCAATTTTTATGGAACTAAAGTAGAAGTTGAGTAAAAGAGTGTCATGTTGGCATGAAGGCTAGATTCGTGGGAGGTGTGCGCGACAAGTACCAAGTGTAAGCGACACGAAGCCTAAGCCACAGCATAAACGAGTGTGGCGCCATCAAGGCATAGAAAATCCCCAATAACCTCCTTGTGCCTACGCCATACAGCCGCTCATATATCCAATAGGTAGCCTGAAGCGCTACCATACTACCTATTGCAACCTCTTAAATACACACGAGATCGTGTCCCGAACCTAGACGAAATGGAGGGCCCGTACGTCCACAACACTCCGTGTCTCCATTTCCAACAGTATCTTGTGTAAGGCTTTCAATTTGAATATCGAGTGGATTATTTGTGGAATTGTTGTCATACTCAGCCTCATATTCTGTAATGTAGTGGTCCGGATTCCGATTAAAGCGTTTTGCAATCTGTTCCTTAAACCTCTTTCTTGCTTCTTGTTGTTGGTCTTCTGGGTGATTTTTAGACCAACAACCATGAAGATTGCAAACGTAACACTTTCTTTTGCCAAAGTCGGACGATGCTTAGTTGTTTGTTGAGCGAGATCTAGCTGCTGGATAGACTTTTAAACGAGAGCTAGAGCCTTGCTTATAATATCGCCTATCTGTGAACAAATTGGATGATGTTGGCCCATCAGATTTTTCGGAAGTTGCAATTGAAGCTCGGAGATCATTAATTAGGCCAGATAGGGTTTCACTGGTTTGAAGCAGGCGTAGCTACAGGCTGGAATGTTGCGGCACGCGTTCACAGGTTTTATGTGGAGAAAATAATCTGTTATAATTTATGCGACAGTGGAGTTAGGAGTATACTGCGTACCAGCTATATATTCAGCTGCGTATGGATACTTGCTCTCGAAATCAGATTCCTTATAATATAAATATATATATATAATTTATTGTGTGTATTCATCATTCATTCATTCATTGCTCTAGATTAAGGTCCTATATGGTATCTATATACAGGACCATGAAGATGGTAAGCCGCTTTGGTGTGGGAAAAAGCTTTCAACAAACAAAACCCAATGTCCTGCCACTCTGAACCGACCCGGCTTAATGCTGAGGACGCTCCTTTCAACCACAAATTTATAAACTTTCCCCATAATTCGTTAACTCCCCTTTCAATCAGACTAAAGTTATGAGAAATTAAATAGAGAAGGCACCTCCTTACTCGGCGTTGGTCTTCGAAGTGTTCGAAGAGTTGACCCCGGTGGTGCTGCTGTCGAGACGATGGTTGGTGCCGCTGGGGCTTCGACTACCTTGCGTGGTCGTCCCGGCCCTCTTTTGAGTCCTTCAGCCTTCTTACTGGTGACCAAAGTGAATTCTTGATCATCAGTCGTTCCGACTGTTCGTATTGGCGCCATTGTTGGTTTTTCATTCCATATTTCCGCCGTTCTTGACAACAGCTCCATCCGAGCCTTCTCCACACTTCCCTTGTAGATCTGGTAGGTCCGACACGCTGCTTTCTGCCACAAACGGTGCTCCTTGCCGCAGTTAGCACAAGAAACCCTTTTCCTCGGACAGTCCCGAGTTTGGTGAGCGCCAGCGCACTCACCGCACCTGGCTGCCTTTCCACACCACGCCTGCGTGTGACCCCACTGGCTACAGTTGTAACACTGCTTTGACTGGGACCGTGGTGACCACACCTGCGAGGTGTAGAGCATGGCGTTCATCACAAGGCCGTTTCGGACCACTTCCGTCTGCATTGCCTCCGATGGGAAGCTGACCACGATTGATCCACATGTGCGGCCATTTTTCTTTAACCGCTGGTGTTCCTTTCCGTCGTGTAACCACCTTATACGACTTATGACTAAGCCTGGAATCCGTGCCTTTGTAGCCGTCTCTATCTCCCTGATGATAGAAAAATTGTTTGCGTCTCTGCCCCCTTCAATTCGCGTACGTAATGAGACACCGTCAATCTCGACTGAGAAATCTTGCCGTAGAATTTTGAAATCCGTTGGTTGTCGCATGTTTAGCGCCACGTCTCTCTGAGACGCCGACTGGACGAACACCTCAGTGTCGTTGCTTCCTATTTGGCGAATCGCGTATGTGCCTTCGATATGTTGTTATGCCTTAGTTAGCAGCTCTTGTGGCTGCAAGTTTTGGGCGCCGTCGATTCTTATTCTGACCGCCGTTTCCGCCATTTGCGGAGCTACGACCGACGCGTAACTCCTTGGTGTCGGCGCGCCCGAAACCACTGCTGGAGCAGCTTTTCGAGCGGGATCCGCGAGGCTTTTCTTCACGATTTCCTCTAAAGCCATCATCCTCTCCTCGATAGGAAACTTCTTCTGGGACATTTCCGTCCAGGACTTTTTGTGCGCATTGAAGGCCTCG